TACTAAACGTGCGTATCTAAATTAAAAATTCAGGAAAGCTGAATCTTGTTATATTTTCTTGGATAAAAAGGTATATTTCCCTACCATTTTTTGCCTCTGTAGCTTTTTCGCAGTCGCCTTCGTCTCGTGTTGACTTAAATAAATTTTAAACCTGCTTGATTTTTTCCGACTTCTTGAGGGAAAGGACAGATGTTTCTGGCTTGTGCTTTTTTTGAGCGCTATGATTTTTTTTTTGTGCCATCCTCCCGCTCTGAGGATATACTGATACTGATATTGTGGATGCTTTATGCTGTACCTGCAGTCGCAGTCGGTGCCTTTTCCTGCATCTGTTATCCTGACAGCAGGACTCACCTCACCCGCACGCTGGGGAGGTAATCGATCTCATGTGGTTTATTTACATCCGTTATTGAAATTCACTTTTCGCTCTTGCCTTTGTTTTATGAATTGGCCGTGTATGCCGCCCCGAATCCGAATCCCTTCCCGTATTGATGACAATTGCAGTTTTTGGCATGCAGCTGGGCGCATTTACATCCGCTTGTTGTGCGCGCCTTTTAACAACAGATTTTTTCGCTTTGCTTTTTCTGGCTGTCTTTTCTTCATGTTTTGGTTTTTCATTTTGTCTTTTTTTTTTGACGAATATTCTTTTTATATTTGCACCAGCCGGAAGTGAAATGCTTCCCGGTGCTTTAATTTTTTAGTTTAGCAAATAATGTTCGGGGGAAATGATTTGGGGAAATCATAACTGAATTTTGAATTGGGTGCAAAAAATTTTGATAGGTCGATTAATAAAAACGGTAGGTCAGTTGTAATTCAATTATTCAATTAAAAATTCATTGTGTGAACTTTTTATTAAGTTAACAACACCCAATAACCAAAAAATGTCAATTGAAATTATAAGTAACTTAAATGATAAATGTTTTAGTTGTGAATTAAATTGTTATGGATACTATGTATGAAATATGCCCTTAGTTAAAACATTATTACTGGGTTTTAGCTCTAAATTGCGGTTCATAAAAAAATACGTTACAATTTAATCTCGAAATTAAAAGGAGTTGTAAAAAGGTTATTTAGATAAGGCTCAAAAAATTTATTTTTTATCAGAATACACTTCCTTTTAATTATTTTAAAACAAAGTCCTACTTAACCCAGTATAATCACAAAGCATAAAAAATGCGCGTTTAACTACCCGATCAACACGCATATTTCCACCATAAAAGTTAGATAGTCGGGACTTACTATGATCTCGTTAGGGTAATTTTGAGGGAATTGCTGTTCTTGATGGAGAAATTCTCACCGCTCGACCCCCTTGCCGCACCTTTCAAAATGTAAATGTAAGTCATTTAATAACGAAACCATTATGTAATCTTCGTGCGCTCGCATGCTTTATGGAGCACATCGGCGCGGATATCCAATTGTATCCACAAGTCCAATTTAATTATAAGCCAAGCCAGGCCCATCAAAGTCCCGATGCGAGGCGATGCGATGCGATGCAGGTGCAAATGCAGAACCTTCGCTGACCAGTCGACAGTCGTCGTCGTCAGCGATCGGAGCTCATTTTCGGTTCCACATTATTATTATCCACGCTCCCAGTCGAAGAGTCCGGTTTTTTTTCGTTGGGAATGCCGCTCTACAATTCATTTGCAAAGCGTATCCAAAAATGCTGATGGGATTATTATATGTTGTTGATCTGGGACTGGGGATATGCGACGCGACTGCAGGTGGAATATGGAATATCTCAATGCCCGGGCAGGTCTTTATCTTTTTAATGCCTTGGATTGCTTTGTGTTTTTCTTCCTCTCTCTCTCTCTCGTTTTTTTCCACATTTCGGCTTTAAACCTTAATTTATGTATTAAAAGTTAGAAATCCGTGTGGACAGGTGAATTTTTCGTGGTCGTCCCTTCTCTTCCAGTTTCTCTCAAGGGCAGTGGTGTATAATTTAGTTTAGGTATTGAAGTTGTTCATTATCAATACAGTGCGATATTGAGGGAACAGGTATGTGTAAAGAATTTGTAGTAACGATATTAACAATGGAGCAATGAATGAAATCCTTTCCCAAAGCGAATTACTTATAAATTTCCATTAGTCGTGGTTCTAGTTAAACTAAGTTCAGTACTATGCCGGTTTTATCGATTTGATTAAATATTTCTGGTAAGCCAAATACAATGAAACTTCCCACTGGATTAAGAACAGCAAAATATAACCAATTCTTCCCCTAATCTGTCACTATTTAAATCAAAAATAATCCCTCTATGAAAGGTGTAAAAAACCGAAAAGCGGAAAACTTAATACCCGAAACGAAATAATACACAAACCCAACTCATTGTCATTCATCATATAAATCAGAATTCGCACACGGACGGACAGGACATACAACTCGAACCAGGAACCGAAGCGTTCGATTGTATGCAAAAAAAAAAAAAAAAAAGAGTATTGAAAATAGAATCGAATGGAGTGGAATGGGTTCTTATGGTTTTTGGCCGTGGTTTGGCGGGGAATGCCGCAGGTGGCCGCTGGCAATGGAACTCTGTCGCTCGCTTTTCAAGTGTTGCCTTTGCAATTGGACAAATTTACATGCGCGCCTCGCACACAATGAGACGGCGGCTGACCCGGCCAGGTAACCAGGTAGCCATGGTCCAGGCTCAATGCACTGAAAAAAAGGAAAATATTATAATAATTACAATAAAATTATCTTAGGGTGTCAATTAAACATAAGCTTTATTATTACATAAACAACATTAATATTTGGTTTTAAATTACAAAAAATTCATAAGCATATACCAACATTTATACGATCACAAAATAATCTTGAGAATATATATCACTAAATGTATTTTAATTTATTTATTTAAATAAAAATTTTTATTGCTAATTTGAACAAAAATATAATTTATCTAAAAGCTTAATTTATCATAAGAAATTTTTCTCCTAAATAAGAAACAATTTTGTTAAAAAATACAGCATTTTTTTCTGTGTATAGAAGCGCTGCCGGGCCATTCAGTGGCTGCTTACCTGGAATGTCCGACAGTGGGACACACGTCGCTATTCAAATAGGTCGCCGACCGACTGAAGGCAGCCGGCAAATGCAAACGCAATGGCAAAGGCAAACAGCAACGCATCATTTAAAGGATGGAAAATGCAAAAAGGATGCTGGGCCGTGTGATTTCCGCTCTGGACACTGATTTTTATCCTTTGTGAGTGAGTGCGGGAGTGCGTGAAAGGTGTCCGCTCCTTTTGTTCGAAATATTTTAATTAAATGGACTGAGTTAAGCCCCGTGGGCAGGGCGTTGATATGTGGGATCGATGAGTGCGGAGGCAAATCAATCAATTCCTGCCAAATGCGGTCAAAATGCAATGCTCAATTAAATAAGCCATAAAACGAATGCCAACGAGGGTACAAAAAACAATCACTTTGATGTGGGAAACAGGGATTCCAACGCAGGCTTAAAGTTGAATTGGCTGCGATTTTAAAAGCTTTTCGGATGGTATAAATTTCCAAGTGTCTCTGCAATTTGTTCCCTAATTGGAGAGTGCCAAAAGATTGACTGTTAATTAAGTGTAACGTCAGACTAAAAGCCCCAAAAACTTCTAGGGTTTTTTTCAAAGAACGGAGTTAGCATGAGGGATACTCTTAGATCGTAAAGAATATTTTTGTGAGAAAAATTAAGGCACTTCACATAAGATTTAATATGGTATTATTTTGTTGTCAATTAGAAACAGTTTGCTTTCGGAAATATAATTTCTAAAAAAGATTGATATCAAATTTGTTTAGGCTTTATAATTAGCATTTATCATTGCATACTTTTAGGCACATGTGGATAATAGACAACAAAAAGAAACCACTGTCCTTTTAAAAATAAATTCACAACAGCTTGGGTTACAAAAATGATTAATTTTAAAGAAGAATATATTATATTAGAATATATTTTTTGGAAACTATTTCGAAAAGACAACCTTTATGATAAATTCAAAACTCCCCAAACTTTGAGGAGTGTTTGCGGATAGGTGTCGAAAACTTCCGAATGCCTGTTATCAACTAGTCCTTTTCAGCACCAGAACTGAATAGCCAAAAAGGTCTATCCCCCCCAATTGTAGGTTGAGTGCAAAAACGCATTTGCATGCTGGGAGCACTTCAATTCTGGCGCTAAACTAAAAACGCAAAACGCTCAAAAAACGACTAACGAGCACCTGTCACCTGTTCTTCAGATGAGTGGGCGGGGGGCGTGGCTCATTTGCATGCGATTGAAAAGCGCGGAATCAAAGTGCTTGATACGAAAAAAGGAAAAGAAAGGAATAAACAAAAACAACCAATTGGCTGTGGATTTTTCCGGCTGCATGTGAGTGCGGGATGCTGGCTAATTAAAAGCGCATCAAAAGCGGGCAGAATTTGCATAGCAAACGAAACGAAACGTTGCGAAAATTAAATAGAAATTGTTAGTTGCACTTTTTCCATTTCACTTTGTCAAAGCTGCCAATGCCGAAAAAGTTTCTCATGAATAGCTGTCGTTAAAGGAGCGGAATTACGGAATTCTGGGCGGACGGACGGAGCCGCAGCGAATCGTCCAATAAATGTCAGCGGAACAAACTTTGTTCGCCAACTATTTTTATAATTAAACAAACTGATTGTGATAAGTAGGAACATGAAGAAAAAAGTTATTCCAAGAGCAGGTCCAAAGGTCCGGTCATAAATTGGGCAAACGTCAAAGTTAGCACTCTAGGACTTGTTAAACAAGCCCTTGAGACAACGCAAGGACAAATTCAAAGTATACAACAAGAAAACTTAACTTTATAAAATTTACATAGAGTTTTAAAGAGTTTTTACGTTTTCAATAAGTTTTGAATGCTTTGAGCGAAAACAAAAGGTTTCCTCAAAAATTCTAGTAAGCTCTGAGTCCTGTTCAGACTTTTTATATAGAATGGAGCACTAATATTTGTTACAAAAATGTAAACTGCAACTTTGTGGACCTTATTTGTGGACCCTGATAATCCGAAAACTAAGGTGATAATTTCTAAAACTTTTACTACAAAATAAACAAGTGATTAGGTTTTCAACAATCTATTTAGGTCTAAGGGTTCTTAACTATTCTGTGGATTTGGAAGTACTGGCCGCCGCGGCTGCTTTAGCCTGGGAGGCGTGGTGTTTGGCCACTGCTTCCTGCGCCTTGCTCAACTGGATGTATCCTTCGTGGGCACGAGATCGGAGTTCGCTCTCCACACTTTTGTTGACCGACTTCGAGATGACTGACTTGATCTTCTGGGTTTCATTGAACTTAGCCTTTTTCGCCTGAATTGGGGCATCTGTGGTAAACAATACAAATCTTAAATAATGGTAAAACCAGCAAACCTGTTGATACTTACTTGAACGGCGGGTAAAGGCAGCCTGTTTTTGGTTCTTCTTTTTCTGGATAGATGCCGGCAGCTTTGCCTTTTTAAATTTTCCCTGGGGCATTTTTAAAAGCTCTTAACAAACAGAAAAGCAGAAGACTTCAAATTTAATTCCGCAGCACGTTGTTTTGGTTTTTACCCAGTGTGACCCTAATTTGATAACACCCATCGACATCTCGCCTATCGGTTTTCGGGAGCTGCCAACCTATTCCAAGTCCCTTCCCATATTTGGCGGGCTTAACGAAATCAAATTGTTTTGTTCGGTTTATCTTTATTTTCGATTGCTGGCTCACTTATTTTAACTTGAATTATTTAACATATATTTAAGGAATTCCCTTAATCAAATAAGTTTATGGGGATCCTTGTTCGCTTGCTTTAAACTAAACACAAAAATTTCACATTGAATGCAAAACTTAAATTGTTCGCGATAATCGTTTTAACAAGAAATCATTAACATTTAAAAGCGCTGAATATTGTTTATATGCAAGTTAAGTGGGATTCAGTATCCTTATTTACGTATGTATATATATATTTATAAATATTGTTTTTGTTTATTTTTTAGCTTTTCCTCTACATTCTTGTTGTCTTTGCTCACTTGGTGATTAAACAGAGTTATCAACGATCGAATATTTTGTTTCTTATAAAAGTCGTTTTACAAAAATCTATGCATATGTGGGTGTGTGTGTTTGCGTGTGATGTTCGCGTGTGTTTGAATATGGGTGTACAAATAAAACAATTAACTGTTCAGTTTGGCAACAATAACGCCAGTTACGACTAAACCTATTATCACAGCGATCACCAGGAGTATCAAAATCTTGCGCCTGTAACTCTGGCGACTCCTGGCCGCCTTGGCCAGCTGCGAGGTGCCATCCTCCACGTTGGCGGCCGTCTGCTCAATACTGTTCTCGATGAAGTCTGTGAAAGATAGGCAAAATTGTTTTAAGAACAACGTTCAAATGCTTCATCGTTTTCACATATTTAAAATCCTATCTTATATCAATAATGTTTATCAGTCTATTGACTTAGTTACTCAACAAATACTTCTGATATATGTATATTCAAGAACAAAGAAGCAATTACTAATTTCAAAAAATTGCAAATAACCAGCTGACCGACCACACCTAATGATTCGATAAGGGCATTGACAGATTAACTAAAATGTGTCAGCAATTTTTATATCATCCATATATCGTGGTAATGCATGCTAAAATCAATCAGTGAATAAGCTCAGAAAAGATTATACAAAATAAAACTTATAAAAATAAGCATTAACAATGCTGGTCTAAAATTTATTTTTCTGTGTAAAAATCCTCTCGAATTTAAGAATTTGATCAGCCTTTGAACCATAAACCTGTATAGAATGTCGTAAAGTGAGAGCCCTAATTACGGTTTGCGGTTTGGCAATTTGCGGTTTAATGAGTCCCGACTAAATGCGAGTTCCCAAATGTATTTGTGGCCAAAGGGGCCAACTCACCCATCTGCTGTCCCTGTTCATGCACCAGTCCACTCAACCGGGTCATGATCTGATTGACATCGATAACGTCCGACTCGATCTGCTCGACCTGTCGCCGTCGCTCCTCGAGAAGGTCGTGCTCCTGCTGCAGATTGGCCTGCTCCAAACGCTGCTGCTGCAGGAGCTCAGCTCGGGCATTGGCCTCCACATCCTGGTCGGCAAAGTGCTGGGCCTGCTGAAGGGTCTGTCGCATGGCCGACGAGATGCGTCGCTGCAGATTGGAGTACTTCTCTACCACTCCGTGGAATTCCCTTGTGAGCTTCTCCAATTGAAGCTTCTGCTGTCGATCTCCATGTCGCACAACCGCCTGAAGCCTTTGCAAATCCTGACTTGTGGTCTGCACCCGGGCATTGCACTTAGTGTTTATTGAGTGCACCTTCTCCCTCAGAGTCGGTAGGTCCTTTGGCGTTCCAATGAGCTTTAGTTGCTTCTCCAATTGCTTGGTGCTACTGTGAATCGAAGTGATGTTGTGCCCGATATCCTCGCTGAGCGACATGAATTCCGTGGGACTAAAGCCCGACGATCCTCCAGCGGCAGCAAAACTCACTTCGGGTGTGGACTCCGCCATGGCTCCATAATCCCGATGGGGGCCACCGCCTCCTCCGCCACCGCCCGCTCCCGTTCCTCCTGGATTGTTCAAGGCCTGCGACATATCTGGAAGTTCATACTATCTGTGTGAGTTCAAAGCATGGGTCTTGAAAAAAATAGGCCGACATTTAATACCACTCGCCAAGCAAACAGACAAATCCCTACAAATGATTCACTGTTGTTTTTGTTGTTGTCGCCAACTTATCAACATATGATGTTTGCCTGTGTGCGTGCGTGTGCTTGTGTCGGTGTATCGCTGCATCGGTGTGTTGGTGGGGCAACATTTACGTGTTTTCCTCTTCGCATATGATTTGCTTTTGGGGGCGGGGGTTCTTGTACGGCTTCAAACTGGGAATTCGGGATTACCTAGTACTTACTTTGAAGCGAGTTATATTCCGTGCAAGCACAATGTCAGCGCACAAAGCCTTTCACCACAAAAAATACAATGATAATTAGAGCTGGAACAAAAATCGATGTGACTTCGATATCGATATTCGCAACCTTAAAGTTTTCCCTCCGATGATCGATTGTTTTTAAATGAACCTTTTCTTGAAGTGAAAATGTATTTCCAAGAACATGTTATTGGTAATATTTTCAACTTTCTTTCTTTAGGAAGTGTATCTAGCTTTTAAGAAAAATAAATGGTATACGATTTTGCAGAATTTGTTACTTATGTTAATGTTTGAATACCTAGGCATTTATATCAATAACTGTTTCTGTATGACTCCCATTTTTGGCCACTGAACAAGTGTGACCGGAGCTTTTCTATCGATAACGGAATAGTTTTATCGATTATTTGGGCGCCAACTTTAGCCTCAGCAAAATAAAGTACAATTTAACCCGTGGAGTAATATTTAATAAACTAAATACCTTTATAGATATGGAAATTAATTAATGAAAAAAAAACAATAGCGTTAAATTACCAATGTTTGTCACAGTTTACTATGCTTTTATAAACTTGAAGCCCTCCATCTTTAGGTCAGATTTGAATAGTATTCGAGGTTAAAAAACTCCTTACAAACACAAATTGTAAAATTTAATTTAGAGAACTCTGCGGTATATACAATATTAGTAGTAAAACAAAATTATGTAAACAAATTTGCACTTCCTTTGTAAAGATTTCAAACTGCATAAACACGTGTGTTACCTTTTCACTGTTATCCCATCGATTCACATTGCCTTTTCTAAAGAAAACACATTTGATACGTTCTTGGCTTGTAATTCCGTAGCTTAACGTACAGAGTGTTATGCTAAAAGGTAAAAATCCTTAAACTCCTGCTTCTTAGTGGGTCTTGGCGGCCAGACGCTTGTCGCGCTCCTCCGAGATGCTCAGCTTGACACCCTTGCCCTTGGGCAGGGAGATGTAGGGCTTGTTGCCCTTGCCAATGATGAACACGTTGGTCAAACGAGTGGCGAACACATGGCCCTGGGAATCCTTAATGTGCACAATGTCGAAGGATCCGGGGTGACGCTCGCGGTTGACAACGGTGCCGACACGTCCCAAATTCCTGCCTCCGGTGATCATGCAGAGGTTGCCTATGGATCAAAAATATACAAAATTAGTTCCAATCAATTTAGATAACTTTTTAAAGCGACTGTCATTGCACGTAAAAGTTACTGAAACGTCTGCGGAATGGCGGATCAGAGACCGTCGTGACAAAAATTGCTTTTGGCTTCTTGTATTTTTGAACCACTCAACTTTGAAGAACGTTTTGTGGTCTTCGAAATAGCCAATAAAAATCGCTTTAAATAGGTACTTTTCCTTACCGGAATCGAACTTGATGTAGTCGGTGATCTTGCCAGAGGCAATGTCCACCTGCACGGTGTCGTTGGCGTGGATCAGGGGATCCGGGTAGCGGATGGTGCGGCCGTCGTGTGTGACCAGGAATGGAACTCCCTTGGCGCCCAGCTGGTTCTTCTTGACCTTGCACAGCTTGTACTGCAAAGAAGAATATGAAATGTTCGTTAATTGTTATATATATTTACGATTAGAAGTTACTAAATCAAAAGGAGTCTAACAGAAACGCTCTATTTCTAATTCTTTTGTTATTGCACGTAAAAGTTACTAAAATGACTGTGAGCTGTCAAATCAGAGACCGTCGTATCAAAAATTGCTTTGGGCTTCGATTTGAACCAATTAACACATTGCGAAAGTTGCAAATCGGTCTTCGACGAAGCCCATTTCTGAAGATCACTGAGCAAATAGGTTATTCTAATTGTTTGTATACTAAATGGATCCAAATTTTAGGTCCGCTTTGATTAATTTGTAATTGCACGTAAAAGTTACTGAGATAACTGTGGTTTGTCAAATCAGAGACCGTCGTATCAAAAATTGCTTTGGGCTTCGTTTTGAACCAATTGACGCTCTAGTAGAAACGTAAAGCGGTCTTCGACAAAGCCCATTTCTCATTTCTTTTAGCGGGATTGATAACTTACCTTGGCCTCCTCAGCGGAGATGCGGTGGATGGTGAAGCGGCCCTTCACGTCGTAGACCAGACGGAAGAACTCACCGGTCTTCTCGAGGGTGATGACATCTAAAATAGGTTTGCACAAACGTTATTTTCGGCTCAACTCCTCAATCATATCGTAGAGAACTCACCCATGAAGCCAGCGGGGTAGGTGGGGTCGGTGCGGACCTTTCCGTCAACCTTCACCAAACGCTGCATGACGATCTTGGTGACCTCAGCTCCGTTCAGGGCGTACTTCAAGCGGTTTCTCAAGAAGATCAGCAGGGGCAGCGATTCACGCAGCTTGTGTGGACCGGTCGAGGGACGAGGGGCGAAGACACCTCCCAGCTTGTCCAACATCCATGCCTTGGGGGCGGCTAAGCGCTTCAAATGCTTCTTGGGACCACGGGCCTAAAAAATAATTCGGCTTTAGTTGGGTATTCACTACATCCAAAATCACGAGATGCAGTAGCGGAAAATCCAAACAACTAGTATTTCTACTTGTCTGGCTAGCAAAACGCCGCTTGAAAACTACTCACCATGTTTGATTCACTTTATTGTACGGGCGATCACTGCGGAATAAAAGAAAATACAACTAATGTTAGTTGAATCGGCAGTTTTAGTTTTTCGTAAACATTCCGGCGACACCGCAAAAAGCCGCCCCAATCACAGAAAATCTCACGAAAATAACACAAGTATTGCTTTTTACGGCTCGTCGGGTGCTCATGTTTACAGTTGTTGGACAATAACAAACGCTGATGTCCATTATTTTAAACGGTCAAAAAATTACACGTACCGTCCGTCGAGAAATACAACAGGAAAAGGAAGTAAGTTAGAGGTGGGAAAACATCAATGGAAACATCGATATTAGTGATTTACAATATTTTGGAATTATCGATATTTTAGGGCGACTATCGATGTCGCAAAAAGTTTACGGAAAAATCATGCTGCAAATTTGAGTTATTCGCTGTAATAACATATTTTAGACATTCAAGTCTTTGGAATTTAACTTTTTAATAATTTCCTCATCCATGTACATGATATAACATATTATAGAAAATTAGGTAAAACTTAGTTTGTATTGCTTTCAAAATATCGAAAGCATCGAAGTCCACAATCATCAATGTATTTCCATGTAAGTGTTACCAGGTGCTAAAAAAGCCTGTTCTGCTCATACATTGTTTTTTATATGGCTAAATGTAAGAAGTCAAGATTCTACAATTAACCTAAGAAAGTATAGTTTTGCGATAAGGCTTTCAAGTTCAAAATTGCTACAAAATTAGTTTTACTACAAAGTTTAAAACAATGTAAAACTGGTTGCAACATTTGAGCAATCTGGTATAAACCCCTAATCCAACATTCGACAAAATAACAATTTAAAAAAGGACTAGAGCCCAAATTTTTTTGTTTTGTTTTTTTTTTTTTATTGTTACATCTTAATAATAAAACATAAACGTTTCCTCACATCACGGAGCATAAATAAATATAATAAATATCTTTCATATACAAATTTTGGACTTCAGAATCTATGCCTTTACTTAACGAAATTTAGGTTAAAATTAATATTAGCGTCTAATATTTTCCATCAACTGTGGAAATAGGAATAAAATTAGAAAGCCCTTAATAAGGGAATGCAGAAACGATAAATTTTAGTCTCGATTCTTACATAAATAGAAAAATACCAGATTTCGCAAATTTGCATTGCGCGCCAATATTCAATTGACAATCGAGTTATCGAACTTTAAAAATCATTTGTATTTTTGGTAATTTTACAATCGTGTTTATTTTCTCATTTAGTTAATGCCCCTCAAACACACAATTCGCGCATTAGGCATTATTAATTACATTCTGTAAAACCTACTTATAAATTAAACTGCGGCAACAATACAATTTGCCCAACTGATTTACGCATGTTAATGTGTATTTTTACTTTGTTTTTGTGTTTTTTAAATCTTTTTATATGGGAATTTATGCTTTTAAAACCACATGGGGCTAAATAGTTATATGGATAATTCAGTTAATCGTTTTTGTACATAATACAAAGTGTATTCATTTGCTTAATGTTGGCTCGCTAATTTTAGTCGCTACTGTTTTTTTTTGTTTAGGCGAAAGAACTTAACGGTATGTGAAATACATTTTAAGAAATACAATGTATGCAGTTAATGAATGTATAGTTGGTTTAAAGTTAAATTTCTATTTTAATGGCTACGTACGTCTGTCTGTGAGGGCGAGCGATTCACGATGAGGAAATGAGTTTTGGGGGTCAGTGGATTTGAGAGTGGATTCTGGGGGCAATCATTCTCGCACATAGTCTGTCGTCGTTCAGTCCAGCTTCTTCATTGATTTGAGGGCCCGTTCCCGCAGCTGCTTCTCGAGGTCCTCGTTGATGATTCCGGGTCCGGAGCCACCAGGCAGCAGCAGCGGCATTTTGCCTGTGTTTCCATTTCGCTTTGCAGCACCTGACGATGGATGCTCCTCCTCGTCGCTGCTGCCTTGGGAACTGCTGTCCGCCCGCGATTTGCCAGCACTGCTCTTCCGCTTGTGCTTCTTGTGTTTCTTGCTCTTCTTACTATGCTTCTTGTGTTTCTTATGCTTCTTGCGCTTGGAGGAGGCGTCAGAATCGCTGTCGCTCGATTCCACCACCTTCTTGGCCTTCTTGCGCTTCTTCTTGGGCACATGCTCGTCCTCGGAATCGCTATTGCCGTTGCCAGCCTCCACGTCCTCGACCCTTCGCGACTTCTTGTGACTGCGCTTGCGGCTGCTCGTCGACTCCTCATCCCCACTGGATGTGACGCCTCGCTTGGGTTTTTTGTCCGCACGCCGCTTGTCCTTTTCTTTCTCCCTTTCCCTGCCCTTCTCCTTTTCCTTAAGGGCCGCCGCCTCCTTTTCCTTTCCCTTCTGGTGCTGCAGCTTCTTCTTGAGCCTCTCGTCCCCACTGGAGTTGTCCTCTTCGTCGCTCTGTTCGCTGCTGGTCGAGCTCTCTGAGCTGCGGCGCGCCTTCTCCTTCGACTTGCCCTTATTCGGCTCCACATTGGGTTGCTGCTTCTTGCGGCGCGGCTGATCCTCGCTATCATCGCTGTCCGCGCTGCTGTCGGAGCTGCTGCTCTGGCTCTGATCGCGGGTTTTCTTTGGTGCCGCCGCCGCTGCTGCCTTTGCGGCTTGTCGTTCGTGGGGCTTAAGGAACGGAGAGGGCGTGCGCGACAGACTGGCGAAGCCACTGCGCACCACTGGAGCCTCGTCCAGCACAATAATAGTTTCCGGCTTGGCCTTACGCTGCTGCTCCTCACGACAGAGATCGATGGTGTTGACTGCCGGACCAGTGTACTCAACCGAGGAGCGCCCTAAATAGAATACCCCTTTAATATCCTTTTTTAAGCAACCCTTTTTGTTAATTACTCACCAACTGGACTGTCCCGCTTGCGACTGCGCCGCGAGCTGGAGCGACTGCGGCTTCGCTGGCGACTCTGGCTGCGACTGCGGCTGCGTCCGCGCTTCTCCGGCGGACTAGGGCTGCGCTGTCGCTGCTGACGGCCACCAGCCGAGCTGCCAGACGACGAACGCCGGTTTCTGACAGGCGGTGGGTTGTCCCACCGATTCATGTGACCGCCGCCCGGCGAACTTCGCCTCTCCCTCGAGTTTGGTCGTCTATCCCGCGAGTTTCGCCTCTGCTGCGGCGAGTTGAAGCGTCGTCCCGGTCCCGGATGTGGTGAGAATTGCTTGCGGAACGGCTGGTTCTGTTGCATCGGCGATTGGCGGTGGTCGCGGTTATAGCGATTCTGCTGCGGCGATTGGCGTCTGTCGAAGCGACCCATGCCACCACCGCCGCCACCACGTCCACCGCCGCCAGGACTGTGCCTGGCCTGCCAGTGGATGCGGCCGCCACCGCGGAAGTTGGGCGATCCGCCACGATGCTGCCACATCTGCCGATGCCCTCCGCCGCCTCGTCCACCACCACGACCCCCGCCTCTAAAGTTCATCATGGGCGAACGGCGACGATTGTTGAAGCTAATTGGGGAGGTAAAATTAGTTTAAGTGTAGATTATTAGTTATTGAAAACACTAACCGTCTTGGGGAGCGAGAATATCGCATGGGCGAGCGGGATAGACGTCGAGATCTCGACCTGCGACGCGAATTGGAACGCTGGAAGCGGTTGCCGCCGCCTCCGCCATTGTCCTGTCGCATTGGGCTGCGTCCTCGTGGCGAAAACCGACGACCACCCCGCCGACCGCCTCCTCCTCCACCGCCGCCAAATTGTCTGCCCCGGTCGTTGCCACGCTCCATTGAGCTGACCGAATCACCGCGATTGTTGCGGTACTGCCGCTTGTTCTGCACACTGTTCTTGTTCCTCCGATGCTCAAAGTGGTCCTGATTGCGTTCCGGCGACAAGGAGATGCTGCTGGAGCGTCCTCGCCGGCGACTGCGACGTGAGGAGCTGCGGGATCGCGATCTTTTTGGGCTGGCCGAACGGGAGCGGCTTCGATGCGACCGGGATCGCGACCGCGATTTGCCCTTAGCCGCCGGCGGAGGCGACTTGTCCACCGAGTGGCGGCCGTTGACAGTCTTGGCGGGTGCGGGCTCTACAGAGCCTGAAGCCTTCTTCCCAGAGCCTCTTGAGTGGGAACGCTGGGGAGAACGCGAGCGTGGCCGCCGGCTGGTGCGTCGCTCCCGGGAGGCAGGACGTGCGGCCGAGGAGGAGCCTCCACGCTTGCGGATTCGAGCCGCGGCATTGGCGGCCGCTTCTCGAGCGGCACTGGGCACTGAACCGTTGTTATTGGCCAGTTTTGGAGATCTTGATGTTGAGCGGGACTTGGATTTGGAGCGGTCACGCTGACGATCCCTCCGCGAGCTGGCGCGCTGGGAGCGGGAACGAGAATGGGATCGCGAGCGGTCCCGCTGCCGCTGCTCTTCCTCCCGCTTGAGTATCTCGTCCTTCTTCTGCTGAATAAACTCTGCCGGAATGCCCGAGTCGCTTTCCTGGGCGGACAAAAGCAGCGCCCACAATTCACCCATAAACTGGCGGGCATTTCGGCCATTAAGAAAACCAGTCATGTTGATCTGCATCTTCTTGGGACATGGATACTTCTCCTCCTCCAGCTGATTGTAGACAAACTCCACCACGACGTCGTCCTCGATGTGCAAAATGTCGGTGATCTTCTTGCTGATCCAGGGACGCAGTACATCCAGTTTTACTTTGGACATATCCACCCTTTTGTTCAGGCAATCCCCAAACTTCATTTGCTTCATTAGCTTCTTCTCCTTGTCGCTGAAGCGGGTGTCCTGCTGCTGGTTGGTGCCCTATTTATTTTGGGGGGAAAAAGGACGTAAAACATTTGCAGGATGTGTCAAGAAAAAAAAGAGAATGTATGATGTGAGGGAAACCATTTATCGATTGGTTTGCGGGGGGGTGTTTTTTTTTTTTGCTTACCGTGAACATCATTTTGGATGCCTTATCGCTGTGAGTCTCCTGCGGGAATTATGGATGCACTGCCGCCAATTTGTGGCACAACTTTTAGGCCAGGCACATTTGTTTTTTAGGAGCACGAAATTCCGTAAAAAGTCCAATAAAAATATATGTAACCCGGCACCACGCAAGTCGATTGTCTATGGGCGCACACACACTCCTTCGCAGCGTCTCTTTGGCCGTGTGTATGTGTGATGACCGGGGATGCGGTTGCTTTTCCCCTGTTTAAACTTGTTTCTTGACTCTCTGCTATCACGTTTATCGGTCTCTTGCACCTGTCACCGTTGCAAACACCTTTTCTGACCACGAATCGCGCAATTTCCCTGCACTTTTCTTTCGCAAAATAAAAAATATATTCGTGAAAACGGTCTGCGCCAGCGATGGCAGCAGCGGCCCAAAACACGAGTAATCGGCAAAGAAAGCTATCGATAGTGCATGTATCGGTATTGGTCTGGCAAGGCCTGGCGCGCATTGCATATTGGATGGCATTACCCCTTTCATTTTGAGTGCGACCGTTAAAAGTAGGTTTTTTTCTTATTGGCAAAATAAATTTATAAACCAAACACTTTACTCTATTATTATCCGTCAAAGGATAAAATTAGGCGTCTAGCTTAAAATTAAAATAAAAACTTCTAAAAATTAAAGTTAAAGGGGATCAAAGTATTAATTAATCCCAGAATAAAACAAGTCTATTCACATTTCGAAACGAATGTTTTTATTTTGCATTTTTGAATGCCATAATTAGGGGTTCTAATAAATACACACTACAAATGCACGGTGGCATTAATTCAATTTCGTTTAAATTTAGACTTAACATAAGGATTTGATTATTTTTTGAGCAAAATTGCATTTCAATTTTATACAGCTGAAGGGGATGAAAGGAGAATGAGAGATGGGGAAAACATTAAATAACATTGCAAAATTGATTTCGCTACAAAAAATAATTCCTCTTTTTAAGTACACATTAATTTAGCCAGCCAGCCAGTTCAGACCAGCTCCACTCCGCTCCGACCCAAAACTCGCTCAGTTCTTTTGGTTGCTGTTGGTGTTCCTGGTGGTTACCGACTCCTCCTTCGTATCCTATGGTATCATATTGGGCTCCTGGGCGGCACCCGTCGAGTATTTGGGCTTGCAGACACATCCGCTCTCCACCAGCACGTAATCCTGGCCAGTCAGCGTCACCGGTCCGAGGGGAATGACCAGGAAGAGATAGGGCACATAGGTTTGCGTACACTCGCCCCGGACCACATCGCACTCCGAAGATCTGGAAGAGATTAAGAAATAGTTTATTAAATAAGCTTCATAAAAATAATGGTTTTTATATTTATGAATTTGTATGTTTCCTACTTACTCGCACACTTCGAAGACCACCTGCTGGAGGAGATCGGGGAACTTCTGGACGATGGTCACCGGCTGTCCGGAGGTTAGACTAACCCCGTACATGGGCGCCGTGGTGTTGTAGCGGGTCTTGCAGAGCCTCGCTGGCGTTTCGCTCTTGCACTGTTGCGCCGGCGTGGCGTTCTTCAGCGATCGACCTGTGATGAGGTTAATCAGTCAGTCAGTCAATCAATCAATCAATCAATCGATCGATCGAACGGCGATCAATCGATCATTAGGTCAATCAGGCAGTGGTTAGTGACCGACTTACCGTAGCGACTGCTTCCGACGGCCTCGTTGTTCACCTCGTCGTAGGCCCTCAAAAGAGCACTGGTGGTTATGGCGGGATCCAGTGTGCTGGGCAATTTGCTCTGGCGGCCACGTCGCGAGTTTCCGTTCCAGTTGGAGAATGTGCGCGCCACGGCCGCGCTGCAGAGATTCCAATTAGGGGGTTGTGGGGCGTTAGAAAAGAAAGTTACTGACCACTGGCCACGCGGTCTCCCCCACCTCGCATATTCGACTCACCTCGGATATGGCGCATTATTCGGTCCCATGCAGTCGGGTGAGTCCGTGAGCGCATCGCCGGACAGGTACTTCAGGCCACGCCCACCGGCGCAGCGACTTGGGGGCGCATCATCGCTACTATAACTCGGCCACAATGCCGCGCTTGCGCAGGTGAATGTGAGTGCGATGCTGATGACGCAGAGAGCCGTTAGGTGCTGCAAGCAGATGTGAGGCGGATATGGGTTACGAAACGGTTGGAAATGATTACTCATAAGGCTAACGGATTTTTAATTCGAGCGCAAGGATGGCAAATTGTTTGCTTTAATACAAAGCGTATATTAATTAAAATAAAGAAAGTGCTTAACATCATGTATGTAATTTGGTTTTCTGCAAATACATACACACAATCAGCAAACATTATCTCAGATCCAAGGAGGAAAGCCTATCTATTTAAACATACCAAACGAAATGATTGTTTTAATTATTCGTGCAGTCGGGTTTTAATTCAGAAAAGCTCTCGCAAAGTAACAGAAAGTTTTACAAGTCCTACGACAAACGACATACCCAGAAAATGACTCAATCCCAAAAAGATTTTATAGCTGGTTTGATAATTTCTTCTCTGCTTTCTATTTAGTTTGTATTACTTTCGGCGATGTCCAAGACAACCAAAATTTCTTTCAAATGATTTATGTAATTACGATTCCGAAACATAAAATGAGTCACAAATGACGTATAACTATCCAGATTGTATCGTTTTTTATAAACTGCGTACAATATGCTTCTTTGATGCCTTTGAATATTACTGCGATAAGAGCTTTGTTAAAATTTCACCGATTATAATGTAGTCGATGATTAAATCCATGGCATAATTATAAGAAATGAACTATAACAAACATTTAAAGTGCCAGAAAAAATGTATTTGTTTACAAATTAATTAAGTTGGAAAGATGTCATTGGAATTATTTTGTTGAAATTTTAGTGCTGGCGATACTAATGTTTAAACTGGGTAATAAGACTTTTGATCATTCACTTTATATACCATAGACTTTATATGTAAACAATTGTTGTATTTTGTTTATGTATGTACATACTCATAGCTTTAAGCCGCGATCGAGGGAAATGTCTGAGCCATGCCGGAAAAGCCAACTGGACTTGGTTGGTCAGCACTCGCAGTGCTGTTCCGTAAGAGTTGTAACGTTTTTTATGGCCTGTCGTTGAACCGCTGACCCTGACCATGGCCCTTGGGTAAATGTCTAGCATTCGGCTGGGGACTCTACAGAGTTCTGGGAAAAGGCCTAAAAGTACGCCACGGCAGACGATGGTTACTTACAAGAGATTTTTTTCGAGGGCCCAACCGATGAAAAGTTTCTATTTTCACATACTTGACCCGCTTAGCCCCGAAATCCATAAACAAATTAATTAAGCTCATAAATAACCATCTCGCGGGGCATCGCACGTGAAAGTAAAAACAGAGAAGAAACCCACATTGAGAAAAAAAAAATGTTAATACATACAAACAAACAAACAAACATAGTACAGAGATACAACATTTTTGAGCGGCATGGCATGCAAAGCTGACTTCTAATATGGTCTGAACTTTTTATTGCCTCTTCTCGCGGTTTTATTTATCCGCTCGCATGTATTTTCTTTCACTTTCTCTGTGCAGATTTGGCTGCTGATCAAGTGCCCGAGTCAAAAAACCAGTTTCGATTGAATTAAAATTGCAGCACAAAATTTGCCACTTTTTATTTCTTTTCATCGCATTTGACTTTCTGCTGAGAAAATCGCTGCACGTACAAACATGCGAGGCGATAATCGTAGCGTTACTTGCAGCCTTTGTCCAATTGTCAATGGCGGAATACTGCAAATATTTCTTAATTGATATAAATATTTTTTTTCTGCTATTATTGTTTTGTTTGTCGGCATTTGGTTCGCACATTTGGTAAGTTTGTTAGTCAACTTTCTTTTCAGTTAGACGTTTAAAAGAAAAAAAGGAAAAACGGAAGGGGCCATAATGGTCATTGCGTGTGCGCTGCGCTGATGGGAAAAAAAACGAAAGCGAAATTCTATTATTTAATTCTTTTCACATTCATTACACGAATTTAATGTGGGAGCGGGGAAAGGCGGTTACACACGTGCAGACCGGGCTCAAATTTGATAGTGCAACGATGGCTTGACCACTCTCACCGTGCCTTTTGTCAAATTCTTCTGGCTCATTAAACGCGCTTTTCTTGGCATTGTCATTTCGTTGGTCCGACTTTCCGTTTTTATGACTCTTCAGCAATTTCGTTTAATAAATGCTCGCGGTCCCCTCTTAATTCGACATTAAAGCAGACGGGACGGACCCCTGGGACCCGGAGAAGCCATTGCCATTTGAACCTGTCACAAGATGTATTTCTACCTGGTAATTGCCGACTTGATTGGGCCTTCGTCTCCTAATGAGGCGACTTTCTTAGGTCCGCGAGAGGGTTCATTGTAGTGTTTGCGGCATGACTGTACCGAATGCAAATAATTTCAAGCCGCCAGCACACACATAATTGGGCATTGGAAATCGGCAAATCACGCATTAATCAAAAACCCATTGACGATCCGTTGACAATTTTAGTTTGCACCGTCATTAGGCTTACATAACAAAAACAACAACAACAAAGTGCACTACATGATTTTTCTATGGTTCGCTTTGTAATTGCCCGCGAGGGAAAGAGACCGCGAAACTAAGCCAGGCTAAGACGAGCTTGGAGATGAGAGCGTGATTGATGTTTGCTTCGCGGAACACGAAATATTAACAATGAACCTAAAAGGCTTTTATTAGAAAATTATGAATATTAATTGAGAATGTATTTTCGACACAAAATATGCAGGCTTTTACTTTTGAATGAGCTTAACATGTTTTAAACGTCTTTCTAGTAATAATACCTATACAAAACTATCGGTCTCACTATTCATTTGCTAATTTATTTATTATTTAGTTTTAAATTAAAAACATAATTTTCAAAATTACCACATAAATTACAAATTAAAACATTAAATTAAGCACGAATTCGTGAAGAGAATTATCACGTGCCTTGGCCATCTCTAGAAAGAACCAAAGGCAAAGAGACACGGCAACAACAGCAACAAACGGCAAAAAGAGACAAAGCGACGAGAAAAACTGTCAAGAGCAGCGGCTCTGTTCGTGGATCAGGTGCCGTTATAACGAGGTTAACGACCCACATCACCATCTCCCTCTCATTCCATCTATCTCTCTCTCCCTTGCTCTCCCTCTGTCCCGCTAGCATAAACAAACATTGGCGTTTAATAACAAATGATATTAAATTCTAACAGCTCAGCTGCATGGGTGAAAATTGGTTTCGGGAAAGCATGGCAATGTCGACAGATTATTGACAGCTTACAAATAGCCGCCAGTGACAGTGACTTTGGCTGCGACTTTGACTGTGATTTCGATTGAGACTGTTGTTGCACGCAATGTTGCTAGGAACTGGTTTATTGATAAGCGTAGCCTATAGCCTCGGGTGTTCCCCTCTGAAGACAAAGCCCCCGTCCCCATCTTTCGCACTCTGGAGTTCCACATTCTCAATGGATGTCAGTGATAATGCATTGTGATTGAAACGAATCGAGAGAGAATTGTGCTTGGCCGTTGGCTTCGCTTGACTGACACAATTTCCCAAAGGCTTTTGTTCGTCGATTGTGGATCAGTTGGTCAGGAAAAGCCAATGAAAAGCAAAGGCCAATTGTTTGGAGAAGCTGTCAACACAGGGTGTGTCGGAGAACTGTTAAAAATAGGTGGTAAATAGAAATTCGGTCTTGAAATTGTTGGAAGGCTAAGCTAAAATTTCGTGCTTTAGTTGATTTTATAGAACTTTTCTTTATTTTTGACAGATATTAGATAATTTTTCTTTTTACAAGATTTGTGTGTACGTTTTGACTCTTATTGAATCAAATTTGCAAACTTGAATGATAGTCACTACAAGGAGTTGCAATTTCAATTTATCGATCAGTAATATCGACACAACGCAATTCTGGCCATGTTTTCTGATTTTTTTTTGCTAGTTCTCAGCACCGTTGCGCATTAGACCGTTGGTTTATGTTGTGTTTTTCATTATTTCTTTTTCGTTCCGCGACAGACAACAAAGCTCGATGCCGTGATAACCCCGAAGCGACAAAACTTTCAATGGGTTTTTTCCCCGAAGAAGCAGCCGCTATGCAGATCACGTTTTCCCAGACCCAGACCACAGAGCTAGAGCGAGACAGGTGCAATGGACCTGGCTTATTTGGCCTTTGGCTATCGCCGCCCCTTTCCCTCCCCCGCACTTCAGCCGACGACAGCGGCGCTTTCATTTTTGGACCATTGTCCAGATGGTGGGATCCGAATCGAATCCAAATCCGAATCCGAAGAATCCGTGGAAACGGGGCTAAGAGTGGGACACAGCTGACCGAAACTAGAACCGAGGTATTTTAATGACAATGGAGATCGAGAGACCTGCCTGCCTGCCAGCAACACTTTTACTCATTACGCTCCCGGTTTTTATGCCACAATCTAGATCCATATCTCTGGGCAGAAGTTTCACTAGATAATTTGCATCATTATTTTCCGGGCAGGTAAGTACTGTTACCTTTTGGCGCTACATTAAAGCCGACAATTAACACAAATAGTATATGACAATGTTCTCTGCCAATCAGAATGCGAACCAAGATGTTGGAAATATTTGACCCGTAACGCCGTTGTGGCTAACAGTTTATGGCTCCAACTCCGTTTTGCAAAAAGCCATACGCACCTTTAAGGTTCGTCTACCGAGAGGAAGAATGCCAACGTAAAAGACGATTGAATGAGAATCTTCTACCTGTAGGGCAGACTCAGAGACAGGCGGCCGCAACCCATAAAATCAAAGTATGAATATGTTTAGCCTACTTTTTATAAAAAATTTTATTTCGCTTTTGCCCGCGGCACGCTTGGCACTCCAGCATTTAGGCGACGCTTTGGGAAACCGCTTTGAATCATCGTTACACTGGCGAAACACTTGGGTTCTTCGAAAGAAGATTACGTAGTTTTTATTCAAAAAACTAATCAACAAATTATTACCAATATAATGACTTTAGTAGCCATGGCAAATGTATCGTCAATTGAAAGCAGGCAACAACATTTCCTGATAAAAACTAATTCATAAAATAAAAGGAAGAGTCGGTAAACAGTAGCCTTTAAATAATTAAATGTTTTCTGTGTGGATTACCGGTTGAGTTGTTTAAACTCTGTAGATCTGCTGAACCACCAGAGAAAACAACCGACCGAATCGAATTGCCAAGCGGAATACAAACCCCCTGGAAAACAAGCAAAAGAGTTCCCTGATTGAAACAATTAATTAAACAAAAGGCAATAACCACGGCAAAAAAATGTATTTGAGTTTTTAAGATTGAATCAGTCAACAGTAGCATTTAAATAATTAAATGTTTTCTGTGTGGATTACCGGTTGAGATGTTTGAATTCCGGAGATCTGCTGAACCACCAGAGAAAACGACCGACCGAATCGAATTGCCGAACGAAATCCAAACCTCCATTCAAGGGAAATCGTTGACTAACCGATTTGAGCGTGGGCGTGTTTTTGCTTTCTCGCTAGCCGCTTGATTAACATTTTTTAAGTCGGTCAAGTTCACAGAGAGGTTTCTTGTTGCCCAGAAGGGTTCTTCGTTCATAAATTTATTATTTTCAAATCGCAGAAACCTAGAGTCAAGCCGCTGTTCCCGCAGGAATGCGGCAATGCAGCTGGCTGCCTTCCGCAACCACCGTGCCCAATCGCAGGGTCAAATCTCCTGCCGCATTCCTCGAACTCCTGACAGAGCCATATATCACTTGTAACCATAACCGCGACCGCTCTCTAAGCCACACAATACTGCTGCTGTTGCCAATTCGAGTGCCAGGGCCTTTGGAACGTGATACGACTGACAAACCATCTAGCCACGGCGATATACACACACGCATTTTAGGGGGTAACGCGCAACCTAGTAAAAGTTATTTGGCCAAAGCAAATTCATTATGAATTCGTCAAGACCGGGCCAAAAAGAAAGTCCAAGAAAGGTGCTAATTCATGCCATCGGCCGATCGGGCCAAGAGAAATGGGTCGAAGTGGGCGAGACGCCGGAGCCCAGAGCTGGAAGAACTCCGCCAGCCCATCCGAACCGAACCCAACCCAACCCATAAAGCCATTACTCCTCGAGAGGCACTTAGTGGACCACCGAAGGTGTTGCCTGGCTGTTGTGGGCTGCATATATGCACATATAGCCGCACATATAACCATATTATATGTGTTCTTTATGCCATCCATACCCATACCCATACTGGTTTCCAAAAGGAAGACGACGGAGACGAGAACAATGCCAAGTTCAGGCAAAATATAAAAAAAAAAAAAAAACAAGAAAGGAAGCTAGCTTCGGCATGCCGAAGCTTATATACCCTTGCAGTCATAAAATATGTCAAACAAAATGCATAAAGGCTAAACAACATTGAAGCTAAGACGATTTTTCTATTCATTTTCAACATTTTCGACTATAGATCATATGGGAGCTATATGATATAGTCGTCCGATTTTGATCAAATTTAATTCGTAATTCAAGAGTCGTTAGAAAACATTATTATCCAAAAATCATGCTTATCTGATGAAAAACAACGATGTTATAATTTTATTTCCGTTATTTCTATATAGATTTTTCGATCTTTCCTATAACAGCTATAAGATATACATAGTTGTCCGATTTTTATGAAACTTTTTTCTCAATATAAGAGTTGTTAAAAAACTTGATATTGAAAAAATCATGCTCGTGGGATAAAAAACAACGTTGTTATAAATTTATTTCCATTAATTCTATATATATTTTTCGATCTCTCCTATGGCAGCTATATGATACAGTTGTCCGATTTTGGTAAAATTTAAACCGAAATTCAATAGTAGTTAGCAAATGCCATGTGGAAGAAATCAAGTCGGTCTGATAAAAAACAACGGCGTAAGATTTTTTTATTTCATTCTCTTGTATTGGAGCTATCCGATATAGTCGGCCGATCCGGCCCGATCCGACTTATATACTGCGTGCAATAGCTACACAACTTTTGGGAAAGTTTCAGCAAGATAGCTTTAAAACTGAGAGACTAGTTTACATAGAAACAGACAGACGGACAGACGGACAGACGGACCGACGGACCGACGGACAGACGGACAGACGGACAGACGTACATACATATTTTGATTCAGACGGTGATGCTGATCAAGAATATATATACTTTATGGGGTCTGAGGTGTCTCCTTCACTGCGTTGCAAACTTCTGACTGAAATTATAATACCCTTTTGCTCTGCAAGGGTATAAAAAACGAAGTGTAAAAACGGAGAGAAGTGTAAGAGATCTTGCAGCTGCCTCTCCTGGTGGGCGCTACGACTTTAGTGTCTTTATTTTTTTTTTTTTTTTTTTTGTATTTTTTTTGTGCTTATTGGGGTCACTTACTTTGACAGAACTTCTACTTAAGCACCGGTATTCCATTTTGTAGCTGCGTGTGTTGGCTGGCTGCTGGAATATATGGTTGATTGTTGTCGGCTGGATTATATTGGCTGTGTACTGCTGTACTTGGGCACTCGAGGTGTTCTGTTCGAACGTCTCGTATATCGTGTCTTCTGTCTGCGACTTGTCCGATTCGAATTGGCTTTTCACTACACTTCACGAAAACGATGAGAGCATATCACACAACGCAGGTCGCTGATTTCACTGGAAGCCCCTCTTCAACTCTCGACTCGATGGCAACAACCGCGCTTCTGACAACAACCGACCAACTCGAGCGCTCAACCTGAACTGACGGACCAGGTAACGTTTACCATTCCTTAAGCACTTGGTGTGTCGCCGCCGCTAATGGGATCTTCGGCAATATCGCACTCGTAACCTGTTGTTGCTGCTGCTGCCGTCGTGCCAAGTGTTGCTGCTGCAGATGTTGCCGCCGCTGCTGCTGCTGCTGCTGTTGCTGCCGCTGCTGCCGTCGATGTTGCTGCTGCAGATCGGATTTGGATGGCCCGATCGCATTGTGGGTGCCGATCTGGATACATGTGAATGCTCCGCATGAAACAGTCGATGCAAAAGCAAGCCAGGAACACCAGAATACAGCCGAGGCACACGAACAGCACAACTCCGATCAGAACTGCTAGGATTATCGTCAGAACCAAACTCATTCTACCGAGAATGCTTTAAATTTCACTTTGACAAGTGCTGACAAGTGCATTCCTATCGAGGGATTAATCAGTTATGCCTTTGCGACATTGATTATCTATTAGAAAGCAGAGCACCTTAGTTTCTTTTACTTTTGGGAAGTTTTCGATTTATTATTTGGAAATTGGATTAAAAGAAAGCTTTAGATCCCCCCATTATTTGTTCTGTTTCAGTCACAATATTTTAAAATACATGTTTAGAAATAAATGCGTTAGCAAGTCATTTAAACTTTTCATATTATTTTGAACAAGCAACAAAAATTCAAGGAGGCTGCGATACGAATTAATATATTTATAAAATGTACATCTTTAAATATACTACACATATGAAATTTTAGCAGGAATTGCTTGTGAGTTAACATCCCTATTTGGCGCCGGATTATCATCTATATTTATTACTGCTTGTGAACTTAAGGGCGATGTCCTTTCCACTATCCGTTGACGTTGCTGTTGTTGGCCTTCTTCCGGCAGAGGCGGTCCAAGATGAAGGGCTCGCATTATTAGTGCGCAGCATCCGCAAAAAATAAGGCAAAGGCAGATACCGCAGCAACAAATACACAAGGTAATCATTAAGATGGGAAGCAAAATAAACGCTATGCCTCTTAACATTTTAAAAAATGTATTTTGAAGCTGGAATTTCGACAACTGGAGTTGCAGAAATCCCAGTGAAGCAAGAGGGATTCTAAAATAAATGTTGTGTTAGCAAAGTTAGTTCAATCTTGTTAAATTGATCTGAAGGGATATTTTAACAACAGAATGTCATGTTCTTGTATTTTTAGATGAATTAATTTTCAAAAAAGTTAAACCCTGTTATAAATTGACAAATAATTCGTGACTAACTAGGCACATTTTATTTATTTATGTTTGTTAGCTAAATTTTATTGATAAATTAAGAAGGGAATTTAAAATATAAATATAAAACTTGAATGTTTTTAAAATGTTATGGTTTATATCATTATTATTTCATATACATAGTTATTACTGATCTTTAAATTACGTTATTCACTTATGATAATAGTGGCGGGAAAGGGTTTTACCTTCAAACGAATCCGAAAGCATGGCAAACAAACTTATCTGCTGCCAGGCTTTCGTTAATTGGTCATCGATTATGGCATTATGCAATCGCATATTCTGTAAATGCTCGTCTCTCCATATATTTCTCCGTCTGCGACTATTAAAAGGCGCTTTTCATTTTCTTTTGGGAAAGTTATCAAGCTATATTAGTTGCAATTCGCTTTGGTTATTATCGAAAAGTGAAGAAAACGCCGAAAGGCCACAAAAACTTTCATAGTTGTTGTAACTTTTCCCCTCGGCTCGACATTTGAAGTCAATTGTCGTCGCGTCGTGCAGAAAAAGTGCTCGACTGGTGGTGTATAAATAAAATAAAATTAATACATAGTAACAATTGAAACAAACGCAGTGCCCCACAATAAAGCGAAAGAAACATTGTCCGAAATGAAACATGAGAGCCCCCCCACCACTCCCATTTCTTTCTGAATGACACGACACGCATGCGCAGTGTCAACGCAACTTTTCAGCGAAAGTGACTGAACGAGTTCCAATTGTGCACGGCCAACGAACGAACGATCCAAACTCATTTATTAGAGGCCCACAATTAACTGGCCTCGCGTAATAGTTGCCAAAACAAATGAAAACGAAATGCCTGCAGACCGACAGCTTCGAGAAACGACATTTCTTTTCTAAAAGGTAACAAACCTGATGTCTGCGTCTAGACTTAACTTTTCAATTGTAATGTTCATAGTTTACTAGCAAAGTATAAAAAGAAAATGTGTACAACTAAAGGAGCTACAAGATTTATTTATTTTTAATTTTTAGAATGGGAATTTCTATTTTATTATATATGTATTCATTTTTATTAACCAAATAGATTAGATTTTATATAATTTTTTTTAACCATTTTGGAAATAATGAAACTAACATTTTTGATTGGTTAATTTACTAGCTTAGTAGAAAAAGAAAATATGTACAACTAAAGGAGCTACAAGATGTATTTAATATTAGTTTTTAAAATGGGAATTTTTATTTTAGATGCCAAATATATCAAAGATATCAATCTTGATTAACCAAATGAATTGTGGTGTGAAATAAATGACAACTCAATTTTATATATAATAATTTCTTTAACCATTCTGAAAATGATTAAACTAACATTTTTGATTGGTATATTTTATTTATGCACCCCCTTATACATCTCCATCACAATCCTAGCAACCACTGCCTGCCATGGCAACCAAAAATATTTATTTTAACATCTTTCCCCACTCTTGAATTGTCAATAACAAAACCAACATAAAAAATAATAACTTCCTTTGAAAATAGATTTGTCCAAAAAGAAAAATGGTTAACTTTGTGTATCCGGAAGAACTATATCTTTTTGTGGAGAGCATTCGCCCATTCGAAGTGAGTGATGTGGGAAGCGCCAAGTGGCTAGAGGTGCACGAGATGATCATCAAGTTGAGCCAGCAGGCGTCCTTGGAGCTGGCCCAACATCGCGAGGAGGAGGTGAAGGAGTTCCTAATCTCGCGGGACAAGCTTCGCTTGCTAATCCACGAAGCCTATTGCGTAACTCTGTGGAAGACACGAGTGCTGCCGCATCTGCTGGAGATCGATCCCAATCCGCAGGCAACATTTCTCATCTACACGGTGCTGTATCACGAGGCTGCTTTGGTGTCCCTACTGGACGTTTGCCTTTACCATCCCAGTGGCTGTGAGACGCTGCAGGAATCGGTGCTCGATTTGATTGACTATTGCGCCCAGGCGATTTCCCAGGTTGTTGGACTCGTTAGCATGGGTTATCACGAGAACGAGTCGAAGCTGGATGTGGATGAGGCGGTGCTCACGGAGCTGGAGCGCCAGAAACGTGACTTTATCTATAAGATTGGATTGCGTTGCATCTCTGTACTGAATTACCTGGCTGATAATGTTAATTTGTTCCATTTGAGCGCTGCCAGGCGTTTGCTGGTGACCCATGACATTCCCTGGCTCATGGTGGATGTCTTGTGCTTCCGGTAAGCATTTATCCATTATTTTTTTTACAAAACTAATCTTTTCTGATTTCAGCCCCTGGCAAAGGAAGACCAGCAAGGGAATACAGAAGTTCATCGAGGAGAAGTGGACCAATGTGGACGATGTCGCCAAAATTGTCAAGCCGGAGGCTCAGGCTTGGTTTTGTGTGCGCCAGCTTCTCCTAAATACCCAGATCATGGAGAACTATGTGTTTAATGAAGCACGCTGCAAGCAGTTGAGCAAGGTTAGTCAAGATATTTTTCTCCATCAGACTTACCTTGAGTTCTTTTTTACATATCCTTTAGCTTTTGGGACTGATGCATGAGACTCTTCTTGACCAACTGCCACCTCTGATTGAACTGAAGATGTTCCTCAGCCGTCTGACTCTCAGCGGAAATACAGCAAAGTCGCAGACGCTGTTGCTGGAGGACATTCCGCAGATCCAGGAGGAGCTAATGAAGGAGGTGGAGCGATGCGGTGGTTTTTACCAAATAGCCCAGGAACAGGACCCGGTGTTCCTCAGCAGGAACAAGGAAGACATCTGCGCCTTGGCCAGTCGCCTAAGCAAAGCCTATGGCACCGATTTACTTTGTGAGCTGGAGCAGACTATGGAGGAACTCAAGGTGGACGAACCGCAGAAGGATGCCGGAGCTGGTGGCGATGGAGAAGTTGGCCACAGCTGCGCCACTTGCCAGGGAAAGGCCAAAAAGAAGTGCGCCAGTTGCAAGCAAGTCCATTACTGCTCTCGGTAAGTTGTCCACATACTTTTAATTGCACAACCTTTTCATTTTTTATATGAGCTACATATTTATATTTTTAGTGACTGCCAGCTGAAGGATTGGCCACAACACAAGGCCGTCTGCCTTAAGGACTAATTTATACCCAATTTAATAAATTCAATACAATCGCTTAATAAGAAAAGAACATTCCAAAAATGTAAAAAGGTCAACTTTCTTTTATTTTCATCTGAATTCAGGTGATTTACGTTTTATTTTCAATTAGCAATAAGCTTAAAAAAAACTTTCACGTAGTCTCTCATTCAGCAGACAGGGGACAGCAATACAGTTTAGCTGTTCTGCCTGAGATGGTCCTTAACCACGTCCAAAGCTTGTGTCTCCTCACCGAAATCCTTGATCACGACGACGGAGCAGCCGCACACCTTGCGGGGCTTGCCCTCCTTGTCGATCTTGCACAGACCGGACCACTCGCCCAGCTTCTTGTGCGAGTCCACGCGGATCAGGGGGATCTGGTGCTCGTTGCACAGGGCGGTGACCAGTTTCTTGTAGTTGGGCTCGTCGAAGGATTCGGCCAGAATGCACAGGACAGCCTGACGCCTGTTAGAAAAAGATAGTTTATTAAATTTCGGTTGTTTATGGTTCATTATTTTTATGTAGTTTGGTTGGCTGAAACTTGCTCAGTAATTGGAAGGTTTTTAATCAATGTAAAATTCATAAACACGGACCAATTAATTTCATCATAGGCAAGTCAGCAAAAGCCAATAATTTAAGGTGGTTAACTACACTATTAACATTTAATTTACATCGAAATTAAATTGGAATGTGGATAAATACATTTGGAAAGAACAATGATAGCCAAGAAGACGAATTTCATTAAACTAGGTTATGTAGAACCGTATTTCCATTTTCGAAAACGTGGTGTTAAAATTTATCAATGGCATTGAGGTTCTCGGAACTACAGATTTAGCTCTTTCTAACCATATATTTAAAATATTTAGGCTTTTGCAGATACATGTAAATCTTTAGGAAATGAATTACCACCCTAATCTGTTGATTATTGGAATACTTACTTGTCCAGGGCCTTGCAGGCCTGGTGGATGCCATGGACGAGTCCATCGGCGATCAGGGACTTCTTCAGGACCTCCTGCAGGGCGGTATTAATGTCCATGGCGCCATCGATGACGGGGGCGGCGGAGGGAACATCACTAAATTGTGAAATTCAAAATTAGCATACATACATCGCAAAACATTGATTAGACATCACAAAAACTTCATTTATGCTTGCTTGTTCAGTAATTGGAGAATTTATAATCAATGGAAATTCATAAACACGGACCAATTAATTTCATCAACAAGCGATTGCCAAGCAAGGCAAAAATTTAGTTTTTGTCTATGAAACATCGACTTACACATCAACGTCGGCCATTGTTTAGCGGTAGAGGATGCACTGCACTGAAAATGAGAATTTAAAAGTAAGTATTAGCCGGGAACTCACGCATTAATATTTTTCACATCTGTACCTTTTGACAACCGGAAAGAAAGAGACCAGAGACGCGTGGTCCGTGGTGATGTCAGTTTCTAACTATCGATAGGAGCTGCAGAGCCGCATTTGAAGTTAACCGATAGGTGTTGGAAAACCAATTTTGTAAGATGTTTGGATAAATATAGTTGGGTAGTTCCTATATATTTCTTAGCCGTGTATAGAAATAAAGAAAACCAGAATAAATAAAATTACTATAGAATTTAAAGTCACATATGTACGCCGCATAATGTTTTTTAAAAATAAGGGAATAAAGTTTTCTGCGAGGATTGAAGAGAATTTTTAAGTATTGGGAGTAAAAGCTTTTAGGCTATCGGCTTTTCTTAGTAAAATTTTTATTTTTACTCGCTTTGTTTTTTTTTTAACTACCAACTTTACTCAAGTTCAGTAAAATTCGTTATATGAATGGCTAACGTCTACAGTTTTACATATTTAGTATCACTTATATTATATAACTCGCAGTTGTTTTCAACTGGTGATGTTGTGAAAAGAATCAGAAATAATTCAAACGCGTTCTTTAGTTTTTTGCAAATTTATTGAAGTTATTAGTCTCAGTGTATAAGGAGAATCGCCGCTATCAGTGGGTCCACGCGTTAGTTGAAGAGAACCTGACCCATGGCACCTGGTAACACTGAGATAAACAATCCCGAATTCCCAAACGCCCGCAACTCGCGCTTCCGACTATAACCACGATACCAAATTGACTATAAATAATCGCGACTATATATATTTATCCCCCGGAGAGAGATTTCATTGAGTTGAAGGCGAACGTTGGAGATTTGAAGTGCAATAACTTGTTTATGTTTACATAAGAAGGCAGCTAAAGCCAACAAGAACAACAACAACTAGAAGAATGTCGAGCACGCTACAGTAAGTTGTGTCTGTAGTGGGGGTTTATTATTAACAAAAAATAGAAAAAAAACCCAACATGTGCTCCCGATTCTCGTGTCGCACATGCCAACACACAAAACTACATAATTGCCGAAAATTTACAGCGGCATGTGAAAATCGTGTGCTTCGCTTGTCTGTGTGCGCGTGTTTGCTTTCGTTATCTGGAATTTAGAATCTACAATCTAGATTCTTAAAATGTTGACCCGTAAGATACATTGGGCAGTGGGGGTGTGGAAGTGTGCCGGGCGGCATATGAATGAATTAATATATATATCCGGGCGACTTCTTCGGCGCCACAAGCTCTATAATCCGAATTATGCGGCTGATAAGGAGGCCGAATTCTTGCCAACAACTACAATGCCCAATCGTAAACAAGAGCACACTAACGTCTCAAATATTGATTCTACACCTATGAACGTTGTTACGGTGATTAGGGCTTATTGGTTTGTGATAAGAAAATAAATTCAATTTAAGCTAGATTATCTTTCTCCAACTATAAAACCAAAGGAGTTGTAAATTCTGAAATCGATACGCATCTCAAACTTTATATTTAAAGTTTATATTTAAATTGTATCTACATTTTCTAAGACCAGGAAAGAAAAAAGCTTAAACAGAATTCTTAGCGAGCATTTGTGGTTTTACGGATTGTAAAAATCCCTTTCAATATTTTCTGTGTAGCCCACGACGGGTGTATGCTTTTTATTCTGGCTGTCTAGTCTTCTTTTCACTGGGGGTAGGGCTATCTTTGAGGTTCATCGCCAGCTGATTGCGCCGAAAGCTCTGACCGCACTCGATGTTGAATGGAATCGTTAATTGGGCGCATTAGCATCGGGCCCTCAGACGAGAAACATGTGCGATCGTATCAGCAGCAACGTTAGGTTCGGGGCCTCTGTACACCCATCTAAATTAACAGAGATAATGCTAGTAATTTATATATATTCTTCTCCTCAGAGAAGGAATCCTGGTCGGTTGCGGCAATCCGCTGCTGGACATCTCCGCCGTCGTTCCGCTGGACTTTCTGCAGAGATACTCGATGAACGAGGACGATGCGATCCTGGCCGAGGACCGACACATGCCCATTTACGGGGAGCTGGTTGAAGGCTTCCGGGCGGAATTCCTGGCTGGCGGATCCGTGCAGAACTCGCTGAGGATCGCCCAGTGGATCCTGAAACAACCCAAGGTGGCTGTCTTCTTCGGCTGCGTTGGTGAGGATAAGTACGCTGATATACTAAAGGAGAAGGCCAGTGCCGCCGGACTGGATGTCCACTACCAGGTGAAAAGGGACGTGCCCACGGGCACCTGTGCCGTCCTGATCACCGGCACCCATCGATCGCTCTGCGCTAATTTGGCGGCGGCCAATAACTTCACCATCGATCACCTGGAAGATCCTGGCAACAAGGCTCTTGTGGAGAATGCCCAGTACTACTATATTTCGGTGAGTGCAGTGGCTTTGTTTTAAGATAAAACGTGAAATCGATGGCGGAAATAATAACAATATAACCCAACGGAAATAAAGATTTAATAGCTGTATACCAAAACGATTAGGGGATTATGAAAATCGACATTTTATGAGTCAAGAAATAAGTGAGCAATTATACGTCCGTAATGAAACTAATCTTTTTAGAATGATTCACCCTAAATGTGTAAAATAATAAATTCAGACGAAGTAATCCCCCTAATTCGTATGTCTATTTAAAAAAAAAAAAGTATTATCCTAACTAATGTGTTAATCTTAAATTTGTATAGAACTAAATTGTTACCCTTAAAACTTATTTAAAATAATATCTTTACAAATCTAAAGCTCTAATTAATAACGCTTTATCTAATCCATTTCCGCAGGGCTTTTTCCTCACCGTGAACCCACCGAGCATCATGCAGGTGGCGGCCACCGCCCATGCCAAGCAGCGACCTTTCCTAATGAACCTCAGCGCACCATTTATATCACAATTCTACATGGCACCGCTGCTGGCCGTCCTGCCCTATGTGGACATCATCTTCGGCAATGAGGCTGAGGCCCAGGCCTTCGCCGAGAAACAGAATTGGCCCAGCGGGGATCTGCGCGAGATTGGCAAGCGACTGGTGGCGATGGACAAACTGAATCCGGCGCGGCCGCGCATTGCCATACTCACGCAGGGCTGCGATCCCGTCCTGCTCATCCAGCAGGATTCGGTGCAGGAGTTCCCGGTCACAAAATTGGCGGTGCATGAGATTGTCGATACCAATGGCGCTGGGGATGCATTCGTTGGAGGTTTCCTGTCGCAGTTTGTGCAGGGCAAGTCGCTGGACGTCTGCATTCGGTGTGGCAACTATGCGGCCGGGCACATCATCAAGAATCCGGGATGCACATACTCCGGCGAGCCGGAGTTCGTCGAGTAAATCAGGATGCGGAAGCTACAGAGAAACCTTACAGCGCAGCAAGATTTGCAATTGTTAATTAAGTAAATGAGAGTGACTAAGACATTTTGTTAACACTGATAATTGTTTGTACATATAACCCACACACTCAGACACATACTAAAGCATACACACATGTGGAATGACATGAACAAATAGCGAGAGTGAGGCTTGTGTCTTATAGATAGAGCAATATTCGAATTTAAATTGATAATAAAACAAAAGTGACACACGCGAGCGAAACACAAAAGTCAACAGTTTGCACAACTTTAAATCTTTGTTTTGTCATCTAGAAAAGGGTGTGATCATCAAAAAGGTTGTTCATTGTTTCATGATTTCATATAGTCGGATCTTATCAGATTGTGATTGAAATGATATACTATCTAGCTGACTGCTGATGTCAACATTTTTAAAGTAATCAAAGGAAAGACAGGTGCATCAATTTGGGGAACAAGTGTCATAAACTTGTAATAAGTTATACATTTTAGATAAGATTAGCAACGAGCTTCAATGAATGTCCAAAATAGTTGATGTCATCAGCAGATAGGATTATCAGAAACAAACCTGCTGATTTTTAGGCCTCATGTGTTGCCAGAACACAAAGTGCTGAGTATCAGACAACCTTTTGTCACTGGAGTGCAGCTAAAACCACAGCTGTTAAACTTTGTACGTAATAACCCTCATAAATAAAGAATTCATTAGCGCATCAGCAGATTAGATTATCAGCAACATGCTTTGACTAGTTTATGAATACAAAACAACATGCTAAATATTAGAAAATCCTATTTTCAAAAATATAATGTGCTTTTGCAATTTTTTTTTTTTTTGGCTATGCAAAAGACGATTGTTGTGTACGTTGGTTTTTTACCTAAGTCTAAATAGAACTTGTTTGTTTGCCATCGGGACTTGTTTGTGACATTGAACCCAAGATCCGTGGCACTAGTCGATCCGATAGCCCCGGATGAAGGGCAGGCCCGTTGGCACCCGTTTTTGATAGCGCACATAGTCCGACTGGAAGAAGTTGAGCAGGGAGTATTCCTCGACGTATACGCGGTCGTGGAAGAACAGCCAACTGACCAGGGTGTAAATGCAAATGCAGATGGGGTTCATCAGTATAATCTGGGTGCCGATGGACCACCAAAACCACCCAACATAAGACGGGTGCCGACAGACACCGTATATCCCGCTCGTTATCAGTTTGTGGTCCGAGTGCTTTTCATCCTGTACCTGTAAAAAAATTTGCTTTATTTATGTCCTTTTAAGAGACTATTTAGCTTACCAAATGTGTAAAACTCCGGCCGGCTGTGATGATGGCCGCTTTTCGAATGACTTCGCCCAAAAAGCACAGGACTACGCCACCCAGCCAAATGTACCCGAATCTCTTGAACTGTGGCAGGAAGTAGACCTCTAGCGAGAACTCGATCCAGCTGGCTGCAGCAGCCAGTCCATAGTGCACCGAGTGGTTCAGCATGAAAGAATCTAAGCTGAGTGTGCGCGGATTGGCCCAGGCGATAACCAGGAACTCAGAGTAGTGGAAAAAGGACATGAAGCTGCCATAGACGCCGAATTGCTGCCATTCGGAGGGTGCAAAGCAAATAACCAGGACACTTACGGCTATTGTGAATCCCAGAAAGGACGCTCTAATGGCCACCTGTGGATTGCAGATGGTAAACGTTACTGATAAGGCTTTTTACTTTGAAAGTGACTCACCTGGTAGTCATGGTTTCGCAGAACGAATCGTATTATCATGTTGATCAGGGCGTAATACAAAACAGGACCCCAAAGCACAGCGCCCCACACCTGGGGCACCATCCCATAATAGATCTGCGGCACCGAGGGGATCAGGATTAGGGCGGCGGTGATCACAAAGCAATATAAACTCAGGCGACCCTCGGAACACAGAGATCCTCCAGTTCCGGGAGAGGGGACGCGGGGGCTATTTGCACACATGTTCGAGAAATCGGGACTCTATTTGTGCTGCTGGTGTGCGCCAAAACACGGAAAACAAGGTTTTTCAAAACATTTGCTCGGTTCGATGCTCCGAAATGTAAATAAACCGGCAAGCTTCCGATACCGATAGGAAGTAAAGTGGACTCCTGCTAAAAGAAAAAGTGGTCTTTGGTAATTATGTAGTTATTTCTCTCTGCGTGAAATTGTTTTCATAAAAAAATAAATATTATCAATCTAATCCTATATAATGTGTTTATTTTACCATTCGAATAGTTTTGTAATAATAGTTAATAAAAATATCTTTTAAACAGTACTTACTTTAACTAGAACCGATAGTTCTTCATTAAGGTAAGACTATCGATTTTTAAAAACTTTACACCAAAGTTTTTTTTTGTAAAATGAACAAAGAATTTTTCTTTAAGTATGCAACATCCGAATGTTATCTTAAAGGGCCTGCCTTTTTATTTAACATTTAGTTCGAACATATCGCTCATCGATATCTTATCGATAACCTGGCGAGCCTGTTAACCGCCGTGCAGGTTATGTAAAATAAAAAGTAAAATTTGCTGAAATCAATTAAAAAGTTAGAAGCACAGCTAAAACTGTTATTATTATCTAGCCATGGTGTTCCTTAACCTGCCCCTTTTGGTACGAGCTCGTGGGCCCGACGAATTCTGGCGAAAGAGGCGCATTTTTAAACTGGCAGCGGTATGTTTCCAAATCTTTCATTCATAATAATAACAAATCCGCAAATACACATGTTTCCTTTAGCATTATAGAAGTCGCACCCGCAATGTCTACTCCTTCGCGATTAGAAGCGTTCACAGGGCATTGGCGTACGCCACCAAAGGACGAAAGCTGAAGAAACTGGACATGGCGCAATTGTGGACAACACGAGTGGAGGCGGGATGTCAGCAGTACGGCGTGGGTCTAGAAACCTTTAAGGAGGGCTTGGCTCGATCTGATATTTTACTCAACAAGTAGCTTACTCCAATGTTTCCACGACCTATTAACTAACCAATTTGCCCTCCAGAAAAACGCTGTCTGATTTGGCCATTTGGGAACCGCGTTCTTTTGAAGCACTGGTCAAGATCTCTCGAGAACGGGCCGCCGTTGAAGGATTGCCGGACATCAAGCGGAGATCGGCGTTCAACCAGGTTTATGGTCTGAGCAACCTGAAGTTGGATTAACTTAGCCCTAAGTAGATGTTCAAATATAGATATTTGTATATTTTAACAAAAATATGTTTCCTTTTTTTGGCTTTAAAATCTTTTTACAACTTTCGGTTTTATATTTGGGGAGAATGGAATGTTGGAACTTTACTGCATACTTTTTGTTTCGGAAAACACTTATATAACCGTCTGCTTCCGACCAAGAAAAATCTCTTTAGTTTGTTAAAAAAATCCATAATTGAAATTTCCTTGTTCTTATTTACTTTTATGTACTTACATTTTAAAAGATTTGCTTTCATAAATGATACTCTAAGAATATCACAAGCATTTGTTAGAAGATTTATTGAATGCCTTTATTTGCCACAAAATGAATGTCGGCTTCACAATTAATTAATATCTTAAGAGTTCTTTATTTTCTAACTCCTTTATTAAATCGAAAGCAAAGAATAAGATATCCACCACTATTTAAGATACCGAACTTTGGGAAGCATTAAAAATTTCACTGAACACATTTTAACAAGTAACTCGAAAGTTTATTCAATGACGGTCCATGCGCAATGCAAACAATAATATTGCATCAGCGTTTATTGTAGTTGTGGTTTGTGGGTGTGTTACGTACTAATAGAAAACATAGAATTCATAGAATTGTGAGACGTGATCCGGCGGCGAGATCTACTCTAGCTTGGCCAGGATGTCGGATTCGCGGAAGAGGAACAGCTCCTTCTGGTCACCCTCCAGGTTAACCTTAGTGCCTCCGAACTCGGGTAGCAGAACGCGATCGCCCTCCTTGACTCCGATGGGAATGTGATTGCCAGTGGTCTAAGGTTTGAATAGAAAAGTCAAATAAGATGATTTCCCAACTAGAGATAATGGCGAAATACTCACGGCGTTGCGGGTGCCAGGGCCGACGGCCAGAACGGTGCCCTCAAGCACTTTGCCCACCGATTTCTCTGGTAGAACGATACCGCCTTTCGTCTTGGTCAGCGCTTCGGCCCTCTGGATCAGAATGCGGTCCAGCATGGGGATGATCTTCTTGATAGCGGCGGCCTTAAAGATATAAGATAAATGAACACCCAACCATTAACCCATGTTTTATGTTTCTCTCATTGATTACACAACAGCCCGGCAAAAGAGAGATGGACCCCAGAGTTGTGGAAGCTTCTCGAATTACTCACACAAACCCGATTTCCATTTACATTTATTAAGGCATCGTTATTAGGTCACTTTTAACTTACCATTTTTGTTCTTAAATGCAAACTGGAGAGCTTGAGAGAATCTAAAGAATAAACTTTTTACTTAGCTACACGTGCCGTGCCGGCGTAACTTCGATAGATGAGAACTGCTTATCGTCTGTGTGACCAGTCGGTCTTGCTGTGAAAACGATTTTATTCTGATACACTGAAAAAAATACCCTTAATCACATCAGGAGTAAAATAACTTTAAAAACACACAATTCTAACCTTAAAAAGTTATTAAAATGACTGTACATTAAAAAAAGATATTTTAACTCTAAAATTATTTAAAGTTATTGTTAAGCAGTTTCTTAATTGTACACCCTAAATTTTCATATTTCAATGCTCCTATAAGTCTAACAAGTTGTTTTGGAAATATGAGCTGTAAGCTCACTTAACCCTAAAATTTATTTAAAAACCAGTTGTCCTTATAACAAACTTTTTTATATTTATTTAAATGCGATATATAAGGTAAATAAACGTTAGCATAAGAGTTATCGATGTATCGATGTGCACTCCCATTACCGAAGCTGCGTTTGTCTTGAGATTATTTGAGTCACCGTTTTGCCTTGTTTACATTTAATGTAATTTTAACGAGATAGACCTTAATTGATTTTATTTGAAACTCAAAGGGCATGATGTGTTTGTTTTTGTTGCCTACCAAGAGTCTGACAATTGCTTGAATTGTGATCGCTTACAGTAACTTGTTTGATAAGAGTATAATTAACACATCAAAATGTCTGAACGTCGTGGCACGAAGGCTCTGGAACACTGGACAAGAGTTATAACCCAAGGATATAATGGAGTTAAGGTGGAGAACATGACCACTTCCTGGCGCAACGGACTGGCCTTCTGCGCCATTATACATCACTTTCGTCCGGATCTTATAGACTTCGATAAGCTAAAGGCTACTGATATTTACGAAAACAACGATTTGGCCTTTACCACAGCTGAGAAATATTTAGGAATTCCTGCATTACTCGATGCAGCCGATATGGTTTCTTATGAAGTACCTGACCGACTATCCATTCTAACCTATTTGTCCCAGTTTTACAAGGTGCTCGGGAAAAGCCTTAAACACCCGAAGGCGGAAGAAACATTTCCTGAAGAAAGTAGTGAGCCCCCTCAGAAGATGATGCATATTGTGGGAATACCCAGACGGGATAAGTGTCAAAAATGTGAGCTCCCGGTTTTTCTGGCCGAAAGAGTCCTAGTCGGGAAACGGGCTTATCATCGCACTTGCCTGAAATGTGCACGTTGTAACTCATTACTCACTCCCGGGAGTTTTTATGAAACCGAGGTCAACAATACGTACTGTTGCGAGACTTGCCCCGATGAAGAAAGTGAAACCGAATCAGACATTGTTAAACCGAACACCAACAATATTGATATTACTATTGGTCAAAGACTATTGGCCGAAAGTCCTGATCCTTCAAATGATGAAAGTCACAACGAAGTTCAGGATGACAATAATGAAACCACTATCAGTACAACTGAAAAGCCATCGAACAGCGAAATCGCTGAAACTCCGTCCAACGTAGATAAGCCAACTGAAAAGGATAAACCTATAAGTACTGAACAAAGTGAAGATGATAAGCCGAAAAATACTGAACAAACCGAAGAACTTACTATTGATCCTATAAAGCCAGCTTTAGAGGAGGAACATAAAACGACGACTGTTCCTCTAGACGAAGAAGATGGTATTCATCTTGTGGAAGCCACTCCTTCGAATGAGCTAATCGAAGAAGAAAAAGAAGTTATTAGCTCAAGCAATACTTCAGAACCAATCATTCCAGAAACACAGGAAGCAGTAATTCCAGAAAACAACACACAAGAAGACAATAATACTGAAAGTAAAATAAGCAGCAATACAGAAAATGAAATTTTCTCAAAAACGGAAAGCTGCTCTAAGCAGGAAGATGATAACGTAAAACAAATAGATCTCGAGACTCCCAAGGAGAAAACACTTGAGGCGAAAATAGCTGAAACTCACTATCCAGAAGACTTAAATCCTTTCAAAGATGATGATGAAATCAAGGGTGCTAATCCTTTCGACAGCTCCGACGATGAAGTCGAGCTTCTAAAAACCATTCCACATAAAAAGATCATGGACTCTACCCCGAAAAGAGACAAAGTCGTGCCGCCCCGTCCACCTCCACCCAAAATAGGCCTAGCCGTATCTAAACCGTCGCAAGATCAACATTCCAGCCCCACACTATCGCAGGGGAAAAAAATGCCGATGCCTACACCTAGGGTATCTATATCGAAACCGCAGACTCCTGCAAAATTAATAAGTCATCGCGACCAGAAAAATAATTTTAATGTGCCCTCCTCATCAACGGAGCACTTGGATACTTCGACAACTTTCGATCGCGGTGGAGATGACCGTGGTTCAAGTATCTCCTTGCCATCGGGCAATGCCCCTCGCAAGCCACTTCGTGCCTCAGCAGGGACTCCATTACGAAGCGAGGACGTAAGTCCCGCATCAAGCCTCAGTTCTATTACTTCACCGACGAGGAAGAAGCGTCAAGCACCTTTGCCTCCAAAACAAGCCGAAATTGAGAGTCAACCAGGATTTTCGAAATTATCGGACGAGCAAAAGGCTTTGTTGCACAATCAGCACAAGACCCCAAATCAAAGTGACTCAACCAGAAGGTTAATCCCACTTGACCAGAGCCTGCTTTCTGATGGAACAACAGAATCCAGTAACTATGAAGACAGCTTCAACACTTCAAATGCAGAGGAAGAGGGAAACATCGTATATCGTCGTGTTTTGGTGCCACCGACTCAGCCCGATAAGGAGGATCAAAAGACACCGATCGTTTACAACGACTTCAATCGAACCGTCAGTCCCTTGGGGTACAACAAGTCTACCCACGGAAAGTGGAAACGGCGCAAGGGACCAGCTCCTGCGGTTCCTATACCACCGCGAAAAGTTTTGCAACGCCTTCCGCTGCAAGAAATACGTCACGAGTTTGAAATTATTGCAGTACAGCAGCTGGGTCTCGAGAAACAGGGAGTTATTCTCGAGAAAATGATAAGGGACCGATGCGAGCGCTCCTTCGATGCCGTGGAAAATACAAACGAGGGAGCCGGTACTTCAAGCACCGATGGCTCCGAGATAACTAATTCCAAGGAAGTAGAAGATTTAATATTGCAACTATTCGAGCTGGTAAACGAAAAGAACGAGTTGTTCCGGAGGCAAGCTGAGTTAATGTATCTGCGACGGCAGCACCGATTGGAGCAGGAACAAGCTGACATTGAACATGAAATTCGAGTATTAATGGGCCAACCGGAGCACAACAAAACCGACTCTGACAAGGCCCACGAGGAAGTATTAATCAACCGCCTTGTTAAGGTTGTTGAAATGCGGAACGAAGTAATTGATAGTCTTGAGACTGATCGAGTTCGTGAGGCTCGGGAAGACATGAGCATTAAGAACAGACTGCACATTTACAATTCTGAGCGCGAGGAACCGGCAGTTGCAAAAGGCGCAGACAAGCTGTCCAAAAAATTATCCAAAAAGGAACGAAAGAAACTTAAAGAAGAAAGTAAATTGGGCAAAGGAAAGAAATCAGACCTCGATAAGGACGTCGACGAGTCTGAAACCACGCCAGCATTGGAAAAAGGAAAGAAGAAGAGAAACTTGTTCTTTTTAAAGATGTGAGGAGTTTTAGAAACAATTTTGTATGCGTCGAACAATATTATTTTATTTATGTAAATTTGTAACCTATTAAGTTTTTCTATTGCCATAGATGAGCATTTCAATAAATTACGAGACATGTATGCGTTTTTTTAAAAACAAATTGTTGTCTTTTTTATCCACATTTAAAAATTACAAATAATGAATTGGTATTACTTCAAAAGTGTTAAACTATATATTAAAGCTTGACCTAAACAAAAAGTATTTGTTGCCATACATTTTTTGACGGTTAGTGTATAAAGTTCGTTGTAACGATAGCCAACCTATTTTATCGATAGCTTTTTAACATTTTATTATGTAGAATTTTGAAACTTTTGACATCTCTAAACTGATAATGCGTATATAATATTCTTTTTATGCCTTACTACTCACCGGCTGAAAAAATTTTAGCCAACATTGTTGGTTTTATTTATCGTTTAGAATTTACGAAGAAGGAATTCGGTTAAAGTTGGTATTTCGCAACGATTTTTAATTAATACAGCTCGGGTAAGCTAATTGAAATTTCTGTGATTCCCTCTGAAAAGATAAAGTCCTTTGTCTGAACAACACTAATATATTGTTTTCGCCAGAAATGAACCGCACTAATAGGCGCCGTGATTACATAGAGACTTTGGAAGACTTCTGGAGAAAAGAATCAGTATTTTTGGAGAAGATCTTTGACAAGCGCATTCCCCTCTATGAGATTGAGTTGATGCAATTTGAACATGTCGCTTACCTCCACTGCTCTAGTTTGGTTGGTAATCCGTCTGTGCGATCGCAGGACCCCGGGCGACATCTATACGAAAGCCTCACACTATACATTGACTCTCGGCTTCGGGATATTTCAAATGAATTGGAGACATTTACGAACGACGAGCAGTTGGTCATCGAGTACGTTTGTTATTGGCGGGATTTTTCGAAAGGATGTGAGCAACTGGACCGAGCATGTGGCTATCTCAATCGCAACTGGGTGAAACGGGAGCAGTCCGAGGGCCATGACCATGTCCACAAAGTCTACCGTATGGCCATGATCCGCTGGAAGGAGCTGGTCTTCAGTCCTATTGACAGTGGCCTGGTCACCGCCATTACACTGTTGTTGAGGCAAAACGTTAGGAGATCCGTGTTGTACCAGGCCCTTCAATCCATTGTGGAGCTTTACGCCAACGATCCGAATCAAGACGTTCCGGTACCAAAAAAACTAGAAAACGTGTTCACTGCGGATGTTGTGCGTTTCTACAAGTCGGAGACCCGGGCGGAATTGCAAAGGATTGCGGGTTTTAATGCTTACAGCGAATTCAAGCATTTTCTTAAGTATGCCTGCTTGGCTATGCCAGAAATAGAGAAAGAAGACGTGTTTAGGAGAATTCTAATGTGGAGAAGTTTTGAACAGTTTTGAACGACAATTTATTGTTCGTAAGCGTAGCACTACTTTGATGTACTTAAGATTTAAATATAAGGTAACACTTGCAATGGAAATGTAAAAGGACGCTACGAAAGCTCTCGGAATATAATGAATAAATGGAAATATTAACGACTCCAATTGTTTGACAATCACACTTCATTATATTATTCATAACAAAGGAAAGAAATCAGACTTCGATAAGGTCGTCGACGATTTTGAAACCACACCAGCACTGGAATAAGGAAAAGAGAAAAGAAACTTGTTCTTTTTAAAGATGTGAGAAATTTTATTTGTGTTAATTTGTAATCTATTAAGTTTTTCTATTGCTATAGATGAGCATTTCAATAAATTACAAAAAATATTTGTTGCTTAAAGTCATTGATGGTTTAGTAGATAAAGTTCGTTATAGCGATAGCCAACATATTTTATCGATAGCTTTCCGAACTGAGTATTCTCACGGCTAAAAAAAGATTCTTCAGGATTCAAAATTGTTTCGTAAAAAATGTATAGAGCTATGTTATATTTAATAACACCAATATCTTCATTTTTTTAATATGTAAGTATTGTTTCCCTATCAATCGATATCAACATTTTATGATGTAGAATTGTGAAACTTTTGACATCTCTAAACTGATAATTGGTAGGTATATAATATTCTTTTTATGCCTTGTTACTCACCGGCTGAACAAATTTTAGCTAAATTTGTTGGTTAAATTTATCATTTACAATTTACCAAAAATACTTAAAATAATCTTACGAAGAAGGAATTAAAGTTGGTATTTCGCAAGGATTTGTAATTAATACAGATCGGGTAAGCTAATTGAAATTTCTGTGATTCCCCCTTTGTCTGGACAACACTAATATTTTTTTTGCCAGAAATGAACCACTTCGAGAGGCGCCGTGATCACATAGAGACTTTGGAGGACCTCTGGAGAAAAGAGTCAATATTTTTGGAGGAGATCTTTCACAAGCGCAATTCTCTTGATGTCAATGACTTAATGAAGTTTAACCATTTCGTTTACCTCCATTGCTCTAGTTTGGTTGGTAATCCTTCTGTGCGATCGCAGGACCCCGGGCGACATCTACACGAAAGCCTCACAGTGTACATTAACTCTCGGCTACGGCATATTTCAAATGAATTGGAGACATTTACGAACGATGAGGAGTTGGTCACCGTATACGTTTGTTATTGGAGGGAGTTTTGGAAAGCATGTGAAGAACTGGACCGAGCATGTGGCTACCTCAACCGCAACTGGGTGAAACGGGAGCAGTTCGAGGGCCATGCCCATATCCACGAAGTCTACCGTATGGCTATGATCCGCTGGAAGGAGCTAGTCTTCAGTCCTATTGACAGTGGCCTGGTCACCGCCATTACACTGTTGTTGAAGAACAACGTTAGGAGGTCCGTGTTGTACCAGGCCCTTCAATCCATTGTGGAGCTCTACGCCAACGATCACAATCAACACGTTCCGGTACCAAAAAAAATAGAAAACGTGTTCACTGCAGATGTTGTGCGTTTCTACAAGTCGGAGACCCTGTCGGAATTCCAAACAATCGTTTACTCCAAAGCTTACAGCGATTTCAAGCATTTTCTTAAGTATGCGTGCTTGGCTATGCCAGAAATAGAGAAAGAAGGTGAGTTTATTAGCTTTCTAAAGGACAACCTGGATATGGAGTTGGAGCAAGCTATAAAAAAATCATTGAGTGGCAAAGAGTACATCCAAGCTTTTATGAATATGCGTCGTGGTCCACTGGAGCGGGCATTAAGAAATCACAAGAAACTGCTGGCTGTGATAGACCAGGTGTGCACTAAGGCAATAAACGGAACAAACCAGCAAAGGGATCCGATCGCATTGCTTAACATATACTGCAACGAACTCATGATCAAAAATAATCTGTCCGAGAAGGCAATTAACGATGAGTTCAAACGAATCATCGAGGTGGCGTATTTCCTAGACGACAAGGATAAATTTATCTATCATTATGGTAGAATGCTAAGGATTCGGCAGATCAAAGAAACATCTGCCTCAGACGGCAATGAAACCACCATGATTTCACTGATGATCGCAAAGTTTGGGTTCGTCGCTACTGAGAGACTAAGGAAACTTTTGGAGGAAATGGATAAGTCCAGGGACGTAAGCCAAGACTTCCAAAATCACTTGAATAGTAAGGGCATAAAACTGGGATTCGATTTTCGCCTCAAGCTTTTTGAAAACAGAGAACGTACTGACAACTTTAAGCTTACTTTGCCATGGGAATTGCAGGGAACTGTGGAGGAGTTTCGTTCATTTTTTCGAAAGAGTCATAGCCTCAGAAAAATTGTATTCAATCTTGAAATCTCCTCAGGAGAGATACTCTGTAATTTGGGTCAGTCGACCCTTATCTTTGAGGTAAGCACTTTGCAAATGGCGATTCTGCTATTGTTCAACCATCAGGATAGGTTTACGGTCAACGACTTGGTGGACAGGACCGGCTCAACAATCGAGGCCGTGCAACCGGTGAGCTTTTAACCTAAATTCAATTATCAGCAGTGGTTAAAGTTTTGTTTTTTGATTGCAATTAGGTACTGGATTTATGGACAAAAAAGAAGCTGCTGATTACTAATGGTGAATTCGTGGAGGTGAACATGAATTTTTCAAGTCGCAAGCGAAGACATAATTTAAACACGGTTCCGACTAAATCAAGAAAGGTCGATAAGAAGGAAGATGATTTGGCAGAAAAGCGGAAATTCCAAACGGATGCGGCAGTTGTTCGGTTAATGAAAAAGTATAAGACTCTTGCGCACTCGCAGCTAATTGAATTAGTTATTGAGGAGCTGAAAAACCTCTTTACTCCAAAGATAGTGTTCATTAAAGATAGAATTGATGCTTTACTTGAAAAGGACAATCCGGATTTTGAACGTTTTGGGAACAACGAGTACCGATACGTTTCCTAACTATAAATATAGTTTTTACAAATAATAATAAATATATTTATATATTTAAAACCATGTTAAATTAACTGATTAAGTCAACAGCTAAGGTTTTCGAGAAATACTGCTCGGCGACCGTCAGCTGCCGGTGGGGCGATGTTACATTTTCATCTTACAATTATTTCTTATCCTGATTCTTCACTCTCTAACTTGACATGGACCTGTTCTGTGACGTTGTACTCCGGATCAGGGAGGATTAACTCAATTTTATTTATCAGCTCGGCATGGTGATCCCTTAGGTGTTTTTCGAGATGAGCTTCATTGGAGAATGCTATGGGGCAATAGTGGCACAGTCGTTCTTCTTGGACACGCATTTTGTTGTGCAACAATCCAGCTCTTCGACGGGATAACTTCCACTTTGGAGTGGGGGAGTACTTGTTCTCGAAGATATTTTTGGTCTTGGGCTTTTGCAGTTTAGCTGCCTCCAACTCCGGCATTCTTTCTCCTTTTCGTAGTCTGAGGTGGCTTCTGTTGATCATGGAAGAAATTACATTTAATTAGTTTTCTATGTTTATCGATTTCATCTTGTGAATCTTGTGAATTTTCCTCTATATTAAATACCACACCTTACGGTTTCAACTCACTTAAGGTGTATTATCAGCATGGATTTGTAACGGAACTTCCGAGGACATATTTTGCAGGGGTATTTGTCGGCATTAATGTCTTTGCAATTGTGGGTGGGAAAATCATCGACAGGAAAAGCCTCGAAGCATTTTGAACAGACTTTTGGTGGACCCGCCAAGTAATAGCTAATCTCATCCTCCCCTTCTTGATCCTTATGCTCCAACTTGACGTTATCTTCATCCTCCAAGGGATACTCTTCTGTAATCGAGTTTCCCGCACCTAGCACACCCACTATAATAAAAAAATTATAATTTTAATTGCGGTTCTCCACTAAGCAGCTTACCCTCATAAAACTCAGTCTGCGGATATGTTTCTATACAGGAATTCTCAGTTTTAATTAATCTTGAAGATTGGTCACTTTCTTGCTTTATATATTTTTCAATTTCCTGTGTCGATTTCTCAGGGTTCGATTCACTTTTAATGTTAATCATTTTTGGTTTTCTGGGCACGGTTTTTCTACGTATCCTTCCCATCTTTGTATGCGTCCTGTTTGTAATATCTTGTGATTTCTTTAACGCTTATGATTTTAGCGATTCGGCTGTCTGGTTTTGTTATTGCCTTCCAGCTGATTTAGATGAGTTTTTAGGGTGACCAGGCAGCTGATATTGATCGATGATCGATGCCGTACCAAGGCACCGGTACTATTTAAACTTCAAACGAAAAACCAAAGTCGGAGTCGTTATAACAGGATTCTACTGTATTTGTAAAAAAACGGTTCTTATCTTGACAGTTCAATAAATTTTAATAAATGCGTGTTAATCTATCCTTAAATACGGCATATTAAACACTTAGTGGAATTTAAGCTATTTATAAAAAGTTATGTAAAATGTAGTTTAAGGATTTTTGTCTACCAGCATACGAAAGCATGCTTGTATTTCCATAAGGAACTTTCATTCATAAGGCGCTCTTCTATGTTGAGACCGATTCACTTGCGACCCTTTTGGTGCTCCGTCTCATGGCGTTCTATCTCCTTGGGAGTGGGTAGAGATATTCCCTCATTGGCTATTTCGCAGCAGGGATCTATCAGGTGGAATCCAAAGCGACTGCCGGGAGCCATTTTCATAGCCACATCGGAAGACCGGTTTGTCAAAAAGTTCTGGCTGAATTCCATCGACATGCGTTGAACCTCAGCGCAGATGCTGCCATAAATCAAGCGATCGAGCATTGTGTGCTGCAGTTGTACCATCCTGGCCAAGTACCTCAGTTGAGAGCTGGTCAGTGGGCGTGCGGTAAAGTTTCTCCGCGATTCACTGGCTCCGATCACCTCCCCGCATAGGATATCCTCCATTGGTAGTGCGAAAACCAGGGATATTGCCTTAGGTAGGGAGCACGGGGTTTTATCCTGACGGGCCAAGCAGAGCGCCACAAAAGAGTCACAAATCCCGCCCAAGGAGATACCATGTTTGTGAATTAGATGATCGGCTATTCGGTGGCTATAATGCACCACCTTGCGGGGCTTATCCGCCTCCAGAATCCTGGCCATTTCGGGAAAAATGGAGCCGAGAGCCTTAATGTCGAAAACATAACTTTCGCTGGATGTGGCCACTGCCAAAATGGACGTGGGCTGATGCCGACCATAGAAACTTGGCTCCACAACAAGGGATATACTCGCTTGATCCTTAATGTCTCCCAGTGCCTTGTGGTAGTTCGAGTCAGCCTGCTGAATGACTACTATTCGATTCAATTTTCTTTCCAAACTTTCAATCTCGGTTTTGCTCAATGGAAAGGTTATGTTTGCCGGTATCGTTTCCACCGCTGAGCTGAAACTGTCATTTCCATCGCTCTCGCTCATGTTTCTTCTAGTTCAAAAAAACAATTATTTGTTTATTTAACAAAGAGCTGATTTAAGTCCTATTTTAATGTATACACTAACCTAAGCTTTTTGAGCAAGAAAGGACGCAATAGAGGTGGAATCAAAACAATGTTTATTTATAAACGATGAATATCGATTACATTCGTGTAAAACCAAACAATATCAAATCGATGTATTGGTAAAGTAATCAACAGATGAAAGAAAATATTTGAAAAAATTAAGGGTTCTGTAAAATACCTATAGATGGCTCTCGTAAAATTAATTTTGTGAATAATAGCGATTTAAAAATGTTGAAAAATGTAGCGCAAGAATCTTTCTTGTACTGTATTTTTTTTTATTCATAAGCTATGCGGACTTTAAAATTGTATTACTTTTGAAAAGTGCAAAGTGTATTTTTTAATAAAATTTTTTGAAAGAGACACGGGCTACAACATTTTCCATTTTTAATATTATTGTATTATGATACTTCAAAAAAGTTCTTTGATATTAATATCACGATTTCCATTAACAAATACCATAATTTAATGAAGGGCATTAAAATTGCAAGTAGTGGCTGGAAATATAAATTTTTAATCCCACATTTATTATATCGTTATGACAAAGTATTGGCAAAAGCCTATGAAATTATCATTAATGTGAGTAATAACTACCGACAACTGGGGGTCCTTAACCGCGTAACCACCGCCCAGTGTTCAGCGAAATTAAATGGAGCCCCTGTACTTACCGCATCTTGAGCATGTTGAGAAGGAAGGCAGATGAGTTGCTAGGATATTGATTCGCATTTGATTTGACCGCAAGTTAATCAACGTAGATGCCCGAAGATTTGTCAGGGCCTGATCGATTTGCTAATGGCCAGCTCAAGGCGATGCCGGGACTAGGGCTTTCAGCACGCAAAATGAGACAAATAAGTGCTTCGCAAATCCGCACCTTTCGCCCCGGCTAATAATGAAACCCGAAGCGATTACACTGCAAAAGGTTAATTGGTTTGTAAGCGCATTGGAGGGAAAGGGAAAAAAATGAAAGGCGAAGGAAGTGTGCACACAATACTGGCAGTAAGTCCAGGCAGCTGACTCAACCTAATTGGCGCACGCGGCGCATACTTAATGCGCTTAGATGCGGGCCAAACGATCCGCTTTCGCCATCGCCATCGCCATCGCCGTCACCGTCGCCATTGCCATTGCCATTTCTATTGCCATTGGCACTGCAGGAGCCGCTTGGCCCTTGTAATTAAATCCCGGCCAAGGCAGCCAACTGCAACATCACAAAATTGAGCCGTTCAAAGGGCAAATCAGGTTTAATTTTAATGCCCTTGCTAAGTAAATTGAGTGTACCAAATATATCGCATTTGATCATCTTATTTTGGCTGTTGAAATTGAAAATAAATTGGATTGCGGGCTTAGTCGTTGTCAAAATTCATTGGGCTGGCTGATAACTTTGGAATCAGTTTTGTATTTATAAATAAATCATGGAACTAAAGGGTAAAAAAAAATTATTTTAATAAAATACTTTCATCTGTTTATACATATAATTATGTTCGGATTGTAATAAAATTCGTCTGATTCAATTAAAATTCTGATTAGGACTAATAAATAAAATCTATATACAGTATCAAACCAAAAAGAAGAGGATCCGCTTAAGGGGTTATCCTACCCTGGAGGCACAAAAAAAGGCCTATTTTCGTGAATTTTTTTCAAAGCTCCTGGGATATTCTTACAATTTTTGTTTATTGAATATGAATATATAATGCTTCAACTACAATCTGTAAAATTTTGAAAAGAAAATATTAAAAAATGAGCGAGTGAGAATGCCTGAAATTTGACCCCATCAAAAATAGTGCCCTGGCGGTAGTCAAATTTTCTCCGCCAATTTTCATCTAAAATCAAAAATCCAAAATTTTTCTTTAAGTGTATGTGTCTGACTCGTGTTTGAACGAAGGATTTTTTTTAAAATTAAAAATTGCATTTTTTACAACGTTTTTTATAAAAAATGACATTTTTTGCATATATTTTGACCATATTTCGTCCTATAAAATAAGTTCTATTTGACCAAAAAAAAAATCCTTCGTTCAAATACGAGAAAAACATGTCTAAAAGAAGTGTGCAAAAGGAGAAGTCGATCGGTGCAATAGTTTTCGAGAAAATTTGACTACCGACTTTGAAAAAGACGTTTCGAGAAAAATGCGTTCAAAGTTTCAAACCCTCTGAAACACTCTGGAAAAACGGCGCTTTAAATTTCCCCCATTCCTACAGTTTTTCTCCGATCGACTTGAAATTTTCGGACAGCATTCCTTACACTTTTTACTATTATATAAAAAATTTTGAAAAAAAATGAATTTTTTAAAAGGTCAGGGGTAGGATAACCCCTTAATAAAATGTTAGTTTTGGATATTACTAATTATGCTATTATGCTTTTAATAACATGATGGTTATCGGTATCGTATTGAATTACAAAACAAAGAAAAATAAGGAGACACCTTTCAGCTCCTAATTAATGCCATAAGCAGTAATTGTATATTGAATAATAAGGCAAATAACCAGGACTCAGGTTCAAAGCTCCCTTTTCGTTTAGTTTGCGTTTTGTTTCCGCTTTGCGCGCTGTCAATTATTGTTGCATACTTTGCGGCGAACAATGAAAAGTGGTTAATGAGGGCGGTGCTCGAGGTTTCTGGGGGTCTTTGGTGTTAGCGGCTAACAGGAAAATCCCTCTATGCCAACACGCGCACGCTGTAATTAAGAGACACTCCACTCCATACCGGGCTCACGGGACGATGGCCCCGGGCCGATGGGAAAACAATGGAGGAACACACGCTGGCCCCGAGTTCTCCCCTTTCCAAGCCCGAAGCTGACCCAATTAGTCGAGCAGGTCTCCATCCTTCCTCCGAATCTTCGTTCGATGTACACGCTTTTGGATCTTTCTAGTTGCCAGGCTCGTGGGTTGCCACGTTAATTAAATTATCACGTGTCAATTAATGTTACCCGGACCAGCGAAACGCAACCGGAAAAACCATTCACTTTGACGTTCGGCAGAGGCAGCAAGCACACGGTGCGTATGAGCGATGCCTGTCAACTATCGGCTGTCGCAATTTCTCATGGCTCAGCGTGTTTCGCATTCGCCACAAAGCAACCAAAACCCGGTCCATAAAAACTGTCGCTCAAAAATCCGTTTGATGATTTTTCGTCAAAGTTTTTAGAGTTTTTACGCCAAGTTTTTTGGAAGTGCAAAAGTTGGATTATTCTGTGGTTTTTCGTCATAGACCAGTTATCCGGATTTGAATTTTATTTCTTTCAACAAAATGTGTTTTCACATTATCAAAGTTTAATGCAAATCTTTTTAATAAACAAATAACAAAATTTAATTAATTTTATTTTAGGAAAGATGTTATTAAGTCGGCTAATTCCATTGAATCTTTATTTTTTAGGACATGCCAATCCATTTCACAATTTCTTCCTTAATTTGTTAAACGGTCAAAGTTTTTCAATTAAACGATTAAAATTCCAACATTTTCACGCTTTTAATTAAACTTGGCCCAAGGCTGCCAAATCGAAGTATGGCATTTGTTTTGATTTATGCTCAATTTAATTTTTGAAATGCCTTTGGGTCATAAGCTTAACAATTAGCGGTGGATGTCCAACCACTGGATGATACCTTCCTTGTAATTAAGGAAAATATATATTTAAATATAATAATAATATTTCTGTAGAGTTATTTTAAACTGAAATAGAATTACAGTAGAATCCTGTTATAACGACTCCGCTTATAGTGTCCGTCCGTGTATTGCGACGAAAATTCGATGGCTTGATTGGTCCCCAGACAGACTTATACACTTAAATCCTTCTGCTTAGTGCGTCTTCCGGGTATAACGACGAAAAATCGTCGGTCCCTTGAAAGTCGCTATAAGCGGATTCTACTGTACAATGAAAAAATAAATGAAACACAGGATGGGAGAGATATAAAATTTGTTGGTGCGTTAAAAATGTACATGTATGTACATAAAATCTGTAAAAAAATTTACATTTTCAAGACAATAATAATCATGTATACAAACTTGCTAAAAAATTGACTTACAAAATATTGTATTACTTTAAATTCAGACAATAAATGCAAATATCTGCAATGCAATCCTTTTGCCACCATCGATTTTTCCTACTCCGGAAAATACTATTAATAAAATATGTAGCAGAACAACAAAATAAAAAAAGTAGGCTCAGCCAAAAGCATATTTCACACCTAACAAGCTTACCAGTTACTATTATTGCTTTTGTTGGCTGGCTGCTTAAATGGGATGCCCGCAAAACCGCAAAATTTGTGTTACATTTGCAGGCCGCTGTGTCAGCGAATTGTTATACCCCTTTGCCAGTCGCACATGTTGGGGTTATTATAATTTTTTTTTTTTTTTTTGGCAGCCCTACCTACAGTGGAGCTCCTGTGGGAAAGTTAAATTTTTTCCTGTTTAATGGCATACTTTTGGGCGAAGCGCCAACCACCTGTAAGGCAGAAAGTGGGAAAGGATCTGGCATGGGTCTCAGGTGCGAAGTATCAACGACGCGTTATTGTCGCCATTGCAGTTGTCCATAATGGTTTTGGCCATAAGCTCGGCTTGGCTCCCCGCAGGACCATTGTCCTGGCCGCTTGCCGGCGGCATAAACATTAACAGACATTTTTATCGCCGCACCTCTGGCAGCCGCGAATTGCGTCTAGAATGCTATTTGAATGCCCTTCTGAGGGGAACCACCGCCATTAAAAATTCGATTTCGTTTGGTATTGCCGCAATAAGGCAGAGAATACTTTGTTAAGCGGATAAAATCTGTTTGCGATTGGCGAGTTCTATTTTTCGAAAAAAAAATTTTTAATACGTTTTTTATATCAAAATTTAGCAAAAGTTTCATTACCCATTCAATTTTTTATTTTTACCAATTTTGAAAAGCTTAAATATATTTTTGAGGTTATACTGATATGCTTGTTGTTATCTTAACTATATTCATTTCCAGTATATGAGCAAATATATTTAATACTCTTTCATTATTTTTATTCTGAGAACCGAAGATTTTTTTTACAACAATCGTTTGGCTTCAAAAAATAACTTTTTTAAGCTCTAAACA